ATCCCAGGACGCTGGGATCATGACCTGCATCGGGCTCTCTGCTCAGCGGGGAGCCTGCTTCTCTCTCTGCCTGTCTCTCTGCCTACTTGTGATCTCTATCTGTCAAATAAATAAATAAAATCTTTAAAAAAAATTTAAATTGGGGGGTTGGGTGTCTCAGTCATTAAGCATCTGCCTTTGGCTCAGGTCATGATCCCAGAGTCCTGGGTTCGAGCCCCATGTCAGGCTCCCTGCTCAGCGGGGAGCCTGCTTCTCCCTCTCCCCACACCCGACACTCTCAGTGTCTTTCTCTCTCTCTTGGATAAATAAAATCTTTTAAAAATTATTAAAATTAATTTCCCATTTCTTTTTCCTTTTTGACATGACTTCTGGAAAATTTAAGACCAACGTGTGGTCTGCATTATGGTTCTGGTGGTCGGGGCTGATGGGGCCCCTTCTACCTGTGTGTCATATGAACCCACACCTACAGCCTCACGAAGGAGGCTCAGCCATCCCCCCACTTCACAGAGGAGGACGCCGAGGCTCCCAGCCCCGGGGAGCGGGCTTCACATCTGCCCACATCTTCACGCCAACTTGAAGCCCTGGGCCTGACTAAGTCCAAGCCCTTGACCTCAGGGTGCCCCCTCCTGGGCATCCTGCTTTCCGCCTACGCAGCGTTTCCACTTTGACTTTCTGAAAATTCTACCGGAGGAGGAGAGAGAAAAGAAAAACGAGAGGAGAGACACCCAAATCTCCCGCTCGGCCGGAGAATGGCCTGCGGGAGGCACGCGCTCCTGCTCATCATGGGACAGGGTGGGGACGGATGACCCCAGGGGCGCCCCTGGCCTCCCCACCTGTGCATAGTGCCCGCTGCAGACGGCCCCTCTCCAGTCAGGGACGTTGATGCAGTCCGGGTGCCGGACCAGCCAGTTGTCGTCCTTGGTGAGGTAGGACCCCGGGTACTCGGACACAGAGCCGTCAACATCATGGAACAGCGACGTCTTATCTCCATCCATGTCCAGCTGGTTGAACCAGGGCCCGGGCTCTCCAAAGAACACTCTGGAAGTAATCTAAACAGAGCCCAGGGAAGTGAGGCCGGGCCAGGGGTGACGGGGAAATGGCGGCTGTCATCGGGCCAGGGAGAAGTTTCCGGTTTCCACTGACGTGACACCCCAGCCAAACCCAAGACACTCTTGGACGCTGCGGGAGGCCTCACGGCTGACCTCACGGCTGACCTCACGGAGGGAGCCAGACACAGCCAGATGCTGAGTGGCCTCAGCTCTGGACCCAGCATGGCCATCTGGCCTCTGCTCATGGGAGGCCGGGCTACTGCGGGTGACCCTGGAGAGTGCCCTGATGTGTGAGCGGAGGGGACGCAGGAGCGTGTGTGTGAGAGGCTGTGTGTGCACGCGCTGTTTCTGGAAGACGGTCTCCCAACACCAGCCGTGGAGGTCTCTGCGACCGACCTCTCCCAGGCCTCAGTGGCCGGAGTAAAGAAGTGAAGTGGCAAGTCTCCCTCCTCCCTCAGTCGGCCAGTGCAGGGCAGACAGGCAAAGGGCAGGCCCAGAAGAGGACCAGGAGGAGCAGGAGGAGGAGGAAAGTTCTGGCGGGTCCATAACCCAGAGAAAATGGCCCACCTGGCCTTACCCAGCCTCAAAGAGCAGGCACTGTCCTGCCCTCCTCACCCCCAGCTACTCGCTGGCGCCTGTCCACGTCCCAGGGGGACCCGGTTCACGGTGCGGGGAGAGATGAGCAGAACGTCTTTAGCAAAGAAGGCCTTGGGAACCCTGGGATTTTAGATTAATTATACCCGCTCAGGTGGCCTTGTCATGAGACTCAGTAGTAGGTCAAGACCAAGGCCTTTGGAGGAACAGCCTCAGGCCCTTGAGTCTGTCCAGAGCCCCTGCACAGGCCCTGGGGGGGACGGCGGGCTGAGGGCGAGCGGGCACTGACACAGCCAGGCTTGACCTGTGTGGGGACAACCTACGCTTGTACTTTTCCAGTCTGCGTGCCGACAGGCTGGGACGGGGCCCAGCCTGCTTGGAGGAAGTTGTTCACTCCCTGTGGTGGTGGCCACGGCTCAAACTCCAGCCCCAGGGGACCTGTGAATCACTGCCTGAAGTCTGGGTTTGCCGGGAGCCTGCCCCGGCGCCACACTCACCGGGACGTCCTCGAAGGCGATGTTGGTCACGTTGTTATGGGGGCAGCTCTGCCAAGCGTTGTTCAGCCGGAAGGCCAGGGCGCTGGTGTGCCGGCCCTCCAGGGCCGCGAACTTGCGGAAAGTGCAGTTCTGGATGCTGACGGGGCCGTCATAGAACTGAATTCCTCGGATCGGGAAGTTCCTGTGGAGTTAGGGAAGTCAGGTGTCAGGCCGGCTTCCATGTTGTACCACGACGTCGTGTGCACCCTCCAAGGTGGATGGAAACAGAGACTCCCCAGGTAAACCGTGCCTGGCCCCCACCTCCAGCGACTCCTCCTTGCAGGGCACTAGTGACTCAGTAATTAGTTCACTGAGAAAGCATTCACAGATGCAGAAGACATCCATAAACGATAGCCAGACGACTTACTGGATGGAGGGGGGGGAGGGAGGGATGGAAGGATGGATGGTGGAAGGATGCATGGGAGGAAGGTAGGAAGGAAGGAAGGATGGATGGGTGGATGGATGGGTGGATGGTGGATGGAAGGACGGAGAGATGGATGGAAGGATGGATGAAGAATGGATATCTGTTTAGTTGCTGGCTTGGGGTTTGGGGAATTATCCTTTATTTAAATATTTCCCCCAGTTTTTTCGTCCTGTGAAGAGTCACTGGTAAACGCTGTGAGCACTGCTACAGAATGCCACTATTATGTCCCTTGGGAGACGAGAGCCATTAGTCATTATCACCTTCGTCTCAGTTGCCATAATTTAATCAGATTAAAACCCAGATGAGTTTCCTCTAAGTAAGCCTTTCGATCGCAAGTCTCTGGGGTCTGGGACAGAATGGAAGGCAATGGTAATGCGTGAGATAACTGTGCATAACCTTCCCAGCACCCCTTGCGGAGACATGCCCCCCCCCCCGCTGGGGGCAACAGTATGGAGATGCCAGTGGACCCCAGGAAGGCCCCTTTCCAGGCCTCGGGGAAAGGACGGGGCAGAGGCCACCTGTTCAGAGGGGAGGCAGAAGGGACCAGAGAATGGGCCGCTTGCCCCAGCAGAGGGCAGGGGCTCAGAGACGCCCCTCAACTGCCTCTTACGCCTGAGCAAGGCTGGGGAGGGGCTGCTTGGGCACCTGGTGCCCAGTCTAGGCTCGTTCCTTCTTCGAGCCCAGTTGGTTCGCTTTTACTGGTGTCTCTGCCTCTGGGCCGGGCCCCTCCTTCCACAGCCACGAAGGAGGAAGGGCAGCAGGAGGGAATAAACACCGAGAAGTTCCCCAGGGAGAGGCTGTACTCCGCAGTGCCCTGTCCTCCACCCCAGTGGCTCTCCGAGGAAAGCCCCGATCATGCCAGTCTTGGCCGGCGCCTTCATGGGCCCCAAGGACTTCCTGCACTTCTGCATCTGCAGAAGGAGTCGATTAGTGTCAGGGCCTGGAGCCGCGGTTCTCGTGGGCGCCTCCGTGTGCGGTTCCGGGTCGTGCGCCCCGGGGACCGGCCGTCCGTACTAGCCGCGCACAGAGCGTGTGCTCATTTCCTCCCGAGCCCAGCCCAGCCCAGTCCCATTCAGGACGCGTCCCCGTGACGGGGAGGGCACAGTCCCCGCTCGTGAAGGCGCTGCGGGGGACCTGCCTGCTTTGGCAGAGCCATCATGCCTCCATAAACAAACTCAGCCCCGGCATTATCAGGACATTCTGGCCCTGGGAAGCCGGTAACCCGCAGCAAAGCCACCCCAAACATGCAGAGGCCGACTTGCTCAGAAAAATGACCCGAAGGGACGGGTGCAGCCCTTAGACCAGACAAAAACAAGGGCTTCCTGACAGCTTGTGCCCGTGGGGCCGGAGTTCCGCCCGCAAAGTCCTCGCAAAGGCCACACCCACTGTAGTGGGAGCTTCAGGCTGTGTCCGGCCCATAGAGGCAGGAATCACATTTCCTGGGAGAAAGGGAAGATGCTCAGGGAGCCAGAGGGGCCCTTGGAACTCAGCGAGCAGGGCCCCTGCGCTGCGGGCCGGCTCCAGGCCTTGCTGTCTGGTTCAGATTCACGTTTGAGCAGAATCACCATCAGATGGACGCCCCCGCCCCCCACCTGCTCCATGAGGCTCCCTGAGGAACTGGCCAGGTCCCTTGCGTCCCTTTGCTCTCTGAGCCGGTCAGCTCTCAAGGTCACCCCCTCCTCCAACCGCTCGTTTGTCCTTGTCCCCACTCTGTGCGAACTCCACGTGCAACCGACTGCCTGCCCACGGCCCCTCAGCAGCCCTACAATTCTGCGGGGGAACGAGCCTGGCCTCTAGGAATTTCTTCCTGCACTAACTCGTTCAAACCCCCAGGGCCCACGGGGAATGAGTTTCATCTTGAATGGCCCTGGCAGCCCCGAGCTGGTGTGACAACACCTGCCAAGCTGTTCCCCCGAGCGAGATCTCGTCTCCCATCGAAGCTCCCCGTCTGCGTGCGACACGGCCACGGGTTCTGTCCCCTTCCTGGTCATTCCCCATGGGCCTGAGTCTATCTGTCCCCACCCTCAGAAGGATGACGGAGATGAAGGAGCCGCGGTCGCTGAGCTGGACACTGAATGCCACTAATGTGTTCCCAGAACCGCGCTGTGTTCCGATCGACACGTGGCCCCGTGGACGGGTCTCCCACACTGTGATTTTATTTAAATTCCTTTCTCCTGTGCTCGACTTCACCCCATTGCCAGCTGACGCCTTTGGACAGACTGATCTCTCTGCCGGGTCCCAGACAGAGGACCCGGCCGCCAGCAGCTGGAAATCACCAGCATCGTTCTCTCCACTGCTGCCACGTAGCACAAGCCACACAACGAGGAAGCCGCTAAGGCTGCAAACCTACTGGCCTATGGGGAGGGTCCTCCCGCTGTGGTCCAGGCCGCCGGGGCCCCAGATCCTGTTGTCCATCATCTCCGTCCCCACGTTGCCACTCTCGCCAACAAACAGGCTGTTCTTTATCTCCTGCTTGGAGCCGTCGTCGTACGGGAAGGTCCCACCGCTGTAGGGAGAAGGTGTCTGGGCTGAGCTGTCCAGAGCGGCTTCCCATGGAGGGCTCAGCACAACGACGTCTGCCCTTACCTGGCCAGGGTCAGGCCGATGCCATTGTCAGCAAACCTGGGGACAAGAGCGGAGAGTCAGAGCCTGCCCTCACTGCACACTCGGGGAAGCCGTGCAAGAAAGGACTGTTCCCTGTCCCCAGCTGTGCACCGTGGACACTGTGTGGGGAAGGAGGCACGGGCTGTGCTGAGGAAGCTGGGGACTCTCCCGCTCAGTGTCTGCTTGCAAAGATGGGGCTCAGCGTTTGGGGCCACACTGCCCCTCAGCAGCACACACACCAGGCTCCGCGAGCCGCCTCCTGACCCCCGTCCCCACCCGTGACTCCAGGGCTAAGCATGAGGTTGGACTTCAGAGGACCTTGCCTCCCTCGGAGAGCCACCCTCGGGGCACCCGGTAAAGGCGGTACCAGCTCCCCAGCCCCAGCAAGAAGGACAGACAGATGCCAAACTTCCCAGGGGTCAGGCAGTGCTGGGAAGGGGGGGTGGACCCACGGTCACAGTTACGCTGTGGCCACGCTTCCGAGTCCCGCAAGTTGTGATTTCAAGCCCCAGTTCCACCACTTGCTTGTTGGTCACTAAACTCAGCCTCGGTTTACCGTCTCCCAAAGGGAGGTGATCATTTGTATCTTCGAGAAGCACGGTGACAAAGGCAACCAGGACTCGGCACGGCAGGGGCCCAGAGCGTGCAGCTGCATCCCTCCTCCCTTTTCTCACTGACCGGCTCTGGGGCTGAGACAGCCTCACCCGGGGGTTGCTTGGTGACCCTGAGCACCTGCATACGCTGTTTTTAGGGGGGCTGAGAGGACACTGCTGGCCAGGAGGCCTATGCCGCTGCCTCGTGAGGGACCAGAAGGCCAAAGCCCACCTGCCTGTTCCTCCCCACCCTGCTCTCCTCTCCCCCGTGTGGGGAGACATCAGCCCCTCCCTGTCCCAGACCCCACGGCTCTCTCCTCACCGACAGCTGTCCAGCCACACGTCCCCGCCGCGCAGCCAGGCCCCGTGGTCCTGGTTCTTGTAGGCGATGAAATGTCGGATGATAGCAGGCTCTCGGGGCTTCAGCGGGTCAGCATCCTGGTGAGGGCTGTACCTGGAGCACACCGTGGGGAGGGCACAGGTGGCCGGGTTGGGGGCTGCTGAGCAGAGCCCTTCCGGCCGTGAGCTTCCCCCCACGCACAGTGACAGGAAGGCGCCAAGGAGGCCGCTGCCAGCTCCCATTCCCTGGGCTCTGGCACAACGCTTCGGAGCCTGTCACAGAAGCCACGTGGGCCGAGGAGCCCCCACCCCATGCAGGCCAGGGCGGGTCATGGTGCAGAGCCAAGCCACTCGCTCTGAACAGGCCAAGTACCTCGGCCTCTTTTAAGGGCACTGAGCTGTCTAATGACCTTGAGGTTTTGAAAGCACCTTTGGAAAGTGGCCTCCTGGCCTCCGGCTGAGCTCAGTCCCGTCCCAAGAGCCCAGGGGTGCAATTCTCCCCGACTTCTCTCTTCCCCTGTAGCTCTCGGCCCAACCAGCCAACGGACCAGGTCATGGCTGTGGCTGAGGGACCCAGGAACCTCTAGAGATTTCTATCTCCCTTCCACGGCTATAGCCGAAGCCTACTTCAGACTTTGCCCTGCTCAGATTTTCACCACGCTACCCCAGCAGCTAGCTCCAGGCCCAGGACGGAGAGAGTGCTCACCAGCTACCCGATGAGTGAGTGAGTAAGTGAGTGGAGAGAGCAGAGGTGGGTCAGGAGGTCAGGAGGGAGTGCGTGCATCCCCAGGGGGTGACTACCTGGCAGAGATGATAGAGAGGAAGGGCCTCTTGTCCTTGGCAGAGGCCTCCGTAGTCTTGACCCCGTTGTCTATGATCATGCCAGCCTGCGGGGAGGGGACAGTCAGGGACACGGTCACTTCCACTTCCAGGCTGAGGCACCTCCTCAGGCCCAGCCTCACCACACGCTCTTGCACACTCCAGTAAAACCAGCCGTGCTGTCGGGATGCATTAACAGAGCTAAGGGGTCTGCAGAGAGGGAGGTGAGCAGCCCGTACGGCTCGGCTTTGCTCAGAGCACATCTGGAATAAGGCGTCCTCTTGGAGGTGTGCATGAGGAAGCTGAGGTCTGGAGGGTTACGTGTCTCGTCCAGGGTCACACAGCTAAGTCCGTGCCCAGAACTCACTTTGCTTTGGGCAGTTAAAAGCCTGGGCCCCATGTCAAGGATGACAGGCACACGCTCCTGGGAAACGTGTCTGCAGAGACTTAGAGGAACTGCTGAATGTAGGTCTTGTCTCCCCCAAGAGGCAGGGGTCTGGGGTCCTCCCACAGCTCTGCCTGGGCTCCTGCCTGACTCAAGGGCAGAACCTCCATTCCTGTTTGGCCCTGAAGGTGTTTACGTGGTCAGCCCTGGGTGCACGGGAGTCAGGCCTCCCAGTGCCGGGGCCTCCTGGCCTCCTGGGAAGGCCCAAACCCAGGCTCTCTTCTCCAGTAACCGGAGGCCACTCTGGCTAGTGCATTCCTAAGTCAGGGTGTCATGGGTCGGAAGACGAAAGGCCAGATCCCCAGCTGCTTGCTCATGAGCCATGACCTTCGCCCCCCAAGCCCCAGCTGTGGCCTGCGTTAAGACAGGCCAAGAACACTGATATCAGAGGACGGCAAAAGGCTCAGTGCTGGCCCCGGATCATCACTCCAGACTAGGACCCTCACCCAAGGGGAGCAGGGGTGGGGCTCATGGGGGGCACCACGCCCAGGACTCCATCCAATCAGTGGAGCTCGCAATTCCTGCCCGCTCCCTCCTCACCCTGCCCATCCCCCACCTGTGCCCGTGAGTCCCTGCCTATCTCCTGTCCTGCTCACAGCCCCCTGTTTCGAAAGTCCCCTATTCTGGCGCTACCTGGCCCAGTGTCCAGCTCAGGGGAAGGCTTCTCGAGGAAGGGGTCCCGACAAGCAGCCAGCACAGCCTGTCCCCTGCTCGGCCGACCCCCGCCCTGCACCCTTCACCTCTGTGCCATTCCCGTATAGCCCAGGACAGCCTCAGGCTCAGCCTGCTCTGTCAAGGGGATGTTGCTGCCTCCTCGTCTCTACTCTCTGTCCCAAGAGACTCTTCCTGCTTGGCCTCTGGGCCCCAATGCTATCCAGTCCCCTCTGCTGCCCTGAGCTGGCAGGCCCCTCTCCCACCCCACCGCAGTATAAGCCCTGGCCAGCTCCAAGAGGATTCCCTTCTCCACAGTAATCCCCTGCAGGAGGTTTTTTCTCTCCATCCTGATGCATCCATCCCCTCTGGGGCTCGGCTTCCCCATCTGTCCCAGTAGGGGCTGGACCAGAAGATCAGCTTCCACCAGTGCATACTGCACCAGCCCCCCAAGGCCGCCTCTGCACCCCCGGGTGCCCCCTCTGGTCTCAGCCTGGCTCCCCTGCTCTGTGTCCCATGGCTCCATCCTTGCTGCTGTCCCGGGTGGGCGTCCGCGACACAATAGGAGTCCCAGCCCTCCTTCCTGGCACCCAGTGTGGTTCTGGACTAGGGCCTTCTGTTTCCCACCTGCCCCTCAGCTCTGCATGGACGGAGCAGCCCACCTCCGGGAACAAAGCAGCAGGATCGGAGGGAAGGACGCGCACGCTGCCTCCACCCTCCTTCAGAACCGCCTCCTGGTGCTCCCTAGTTGGCAGGTCAGGCTACGCCTTCAGGGTCAGGCACCCCTTGCTGCTTCTAGCTCTGACCAGAGGCTAAGGCAGGGCCAAGGAAGGATAAGCCGTGGGACATTCTCGCTAAGAATGGCAGGAGCCCAGGAGGCTTTGCTTTTCTGCAGACGGGCTCTAGGAACACGGTGGCCGTGGGCCGCAGCCAGCAGGCTGTCCCAGCTCTGATGACCTGCAGGCCCGGGAGGGAGGACGGCCAGGCTGGCCGGGGAGGTGGGGTCTGGAGAGACTCACCCGGTAGTTGGAATGTGCTCGGTTGTTATGGAATTTTCCCAGCGGAATGTGCTCTGAATAGCCTGGGGGGTACTTCCCCTCCGAGGGGCCTGTGGGCACGTGGTGGAAGATGAACCAGAACCCGGTCTCCTGTTGGGGGGACGCGGGGGGAGCCACAGAGGTCAGCCCCGCAGGCTGCTCGCTGGGGCCGCGGAATGGCCCGACGGGGGCAGGACCCAGCACGACCGCGGATCGGGCCTCCTGCCGCCCCTCCCCAAACCACTGGCTCGGGGTCCGTGATGCTCCTGACTCTTCCCTTTCAATGTGCAGCTCTGGACACTGAGGCCCAGAGACGGCACCTGACCCCTCGGGTCCCATGGATGCTAAGTGGCAGGGAGGAGTGGGTGAGAGCAAGGCTGTGTGGACAGAACACTGCGTTGGAATCCCATGCATGCCCCTGGGCACGTTCGCCTCCCTGCCCCGGCTTCCCTGCCCAGCAGGTGGAAGGGAGAGGCCCCTGCCTCATAGGGTTGATGCACGAATTACACTATTTCAGCTGAGAGCACTGGTGGGCGGGGCTGAGAGCACTGGTGGGCGGGGCACAGTGCCAAGCCACACCCATTTCCATGGAATAATCAGTTATTTCAGTAAAGTGCTCTGATCCCCGTATGGTAAAGGTACAGGGGCCATTGCTTAAAGCCAAGTCCACAGGACCCCTTCGTCCCAGAAGAACCTGACCTGGGGCTCCTTCCCCCTCCCTGCTGCCCTGGTTTACTTCCTGCTGAAGAATAAGGGATTATTCTGCTCACCTCGGAGCCCGCGGCTGCACAGTTCATGAGGTTGTTGTTGGGGTTGGCCATCCAGAAGGTGGACACAGCACTGCAGGGGTGGGGCAGAGACCGCGTGACGTCACCCAGCGGCTGCTGGCTGCCCTGCCCCCCACCCGAGGCATGAGAAACCCTTAGCCCGCTGTGAAACCCGGTTCGCTCGTGAGAGGGCTTCCACGTCTCCAGGGCTCGCAGTTCAAAGGGGGCACGGGGCTCGCTGAGGTGGAGGCCGTTGGTGGCTGAAGTCGGAGCCCGGCTCTCCAACAAGGAGAAGCCACCAGTGCCCCAGACAGGGTCTGATACTCAGGGAGAGGCCCGCAAGGGAAGGCTGAGCACACGGGCAGTCCTGTCTGTCTCCAAATGGGAGAGGACGCCTCGTGCCCATGGGTACCCACTAGGGCTCCCAGGGGGCAGCCCACAGCCTCGCAGAGGAGGGCCACGGGACGTCGGGGGAAGCCCGAGGATGAAAACAGTGGTTCTCTGTGGACAGGAATGATGGCCACGGGCAAGCAGAGGAGGGAGTAGACAGCAGGCCCTCCGTGGCCTCCGTGGCTTCGGCTGAGAGACTGAGGGCAGTAGGGGGCTAAGGCTGGGAAGCACAAGCCACTTAGAAGCCCCAGGGTGCGGAGGTCAGAGGCCTGGCCCGGGCAGGTGAGTGAACGCCTGCTCGCAGGGCCCTCCGGGGCGCGGGCCTGCGGTGGCCCGTGGCGGGAGGTGGAGGCACTCACTTGCAGTCCTGCCGGGGCTTGGGGATGTAGCCTGGGTAGGAGTCTTCTGTGATGGTCTTGCACATCTTGCTGTCACGGTCGGAGGGGAGGAGGGTTCCAGACTTGACGAGGAGGCCCAGACAGTGGTCAAAGGTGTTCCGTTCCTCTGGCCCGTCTTCCGTGAAGAAGCAATGGCCCAGAGAGTTATAGCCCACCACGTCCTTGACCTGCGGGGATCAAGACCGGGGGCCTCTCACCCAGCGTCCTGGTGTTCCCGAGCCTAACCGTTTGTTCTGCAAACGTGACAGGGCACGGGCGGCACCCCAGGTCCCGTGAGGAACCCCGCCGGCTTGGGGAGGGGCCTGGCACAGTTGCGCGGCCCGGGGGCTGGGACGGGGACTTCAAAGGCCCTTCCAGCATAGGGTGGGGCAGGGACAAAGTGTGAGAGGCGGGGCCCACGCAGGCAAGAGCACCCCAGGGACACAGCTTACAAGGAGGGACTGCACAGAACCCAGCCCACGGGAAAGGGCGGTGGGACGGCTTCCCCTGGGGGGCGGCATCTGAGCCCGGCAGGCTGTGCCCTCCCCATGGCCCACGATGCACATTGGGCGACATTTGCAACCTTCGGGCCAAGAGCCAGAGCCGGCTGCAGACTCCAGCTCCTCCATGTCCTGGAGTCCCAGAGTCAGTGGGGGAAGCGGTGCTGAGAGCGTGGGGCACGGTCCCAGCAGCGCATCCCAGCAGCCCGGGTACTCGGCTCCCTCACCCCGTCACAGGTGAGGGACTCCCACTCCACAATCTCTGAAGCCCCTTCTGGGTCTGAACCCCACGAGCACATCAGTCTCAGAACTAAAAAGTCCTTACGGGGTCTCTGGCCTGAGCCGCCTCCCTCCCCAAGGCCAGACGGCCCATGAACACCCCGGACACACGGGCATGGTGCTTCTACTTGAATGCCCCAGAGACGGGATGCTCACTACCTCACTACATCCTCTGTCCACGGCAGAGCACTGACGATGGCGAGAAACACCCACTGATCGTCACTGAGATCCGACCCTCACCCTAGGACATCAGTTCGATCCGCACGGATTACGCACCTACCAGCAAGCCAGGCCCCGGAACGTCCAGACCCCATCCCGAAACAGCTCCCCGTCAGTACCGTTAACACTTCAGGGAGCCATCCCGTCCCTTGTGGGACGTTTAACGGCGTTCCGGGCTTCTGTCCTCGCCGCAGGTCAGCAGCGTTCCTCAGTGTGACGACAAAAGTGTCTCAGACACTCACTGTCTAGCACTCCCCCGGGTGGGGTGGCACAGTTCCCTCTGGCGGGGACGCACAGATCCCGGGTGAGCACCCCAGCTACCCCCGGACTCCTCCCTAGGACAGAGCCTGCCTGCTCCAATCTCCAGACAGCCACGTTCTAGAAGCATCCGGAACCGGGACCCTTCACGTCCTTTTCATCCTGCTGAAATCTTACACAATTCTAGAATACTTGGTTCGGGTTTTTGGCTTTGTTTGGTTTTTAGAGCTAAGGAAACAGACTCAGGGAAATGAAGTGATTTGCCCAAGGTCGTGCCACCCATGTGTTCAAAGCCAGGCAGGGCTGGGACCCCCGCTTTCGCACTGTGTCCATTCGCCCCACAGGGGAGGATCCAAACACACAGGTCGCCTTGTTCCAGGCCGGCTGTGTTCCCTCCACGTCCCTCCCTGATCCTTGGTCATTGGCAAGGGCGTGATCTCGAGTCCTGTTCTGATCCTCACTGAGCAGTGAGTAAACACCAGGGCCATCCGATGGGGCGGCCTCCTTTTGTCCCAGTCAGCTGGGAAAGCAGCTTATAAACAGCCTGGAAAGACAAGCAGGGAGGAAGCAGGGGCTGCTGGGGCCGGCGGGGATGGCTTCGAGCAAGTCCCAGGCCGCCACTTACAGAGGAGGACCCTGAGGCCTGGAGCGGGGCTGTGGGGGGTCCTAGCGAGCTCATGAACCCAGAGCCGGAGCCGTGTTCACACCCAGGCCTCCCGCCTCCTGCCCATGGCTCTTTCAGAATCCGAAGCGCCCACTTTCCCCGCTGTCCCGACCACACCCCGCGTGGCCCTTCTCTGGAGACACGGGAATGAGAGATGAGTCAGGGACGCTCATTCTAACCAACGCCCCGGGAAGAGATTCCCTTCAAGACCTTCGAGGTATACGCAGGAGAAAAGTCCCCACCAAAAGGAATAACAAGAACTAGGCTTTGTGGGGTGTCGAATGTGTTACAGACGTTCTCTCGTTTAGTTCCTGCCACAGTGTGGTTCCCTTCCGCCTTCCGACCGGATTCTCCATCCGCCGATTCTGTTCTATTCTGTTCCACCAGTTGTCAACAGCCCCCAACAGAAACAATCCCTTTCATCTTGTGCCTTCTCATCGGGGTGGGCGGGGACGGCGCGAGCGCGGAGGGGACCCCGGAGGGAGGGGACAGCGTGGTGAGATGGAGGAAAGGGCTGGGGGAGCAGAAGACACAAGTCCAGCCACAGACTTGCTGCACATTTCCCAGGCACCCCTGGGGTGACAGGTGCCTTCTAAAAGCTGGCTCTTGGGTCTCTGATCCTTCTGCCTCGAACGTTTCCCAGAATTGAGTATTTACACCGTGACACAGCCTGAGACAGAGAGACAGACAGACGAATCTGTACCCCGTAGCCGCACGCCCAGACAACACGATACAGGTTTGCGGGGGGCCACCAAGTCCCTGGGCGGCTAGCCCGCAGCCCGCACACGGCTCTCAAGCGCAAATCACACCTTTCCCTCCCTTTGTCCGCACGTCACCCCTGCGGAGGGTTGGCAGTGCGAACAGGGATTCCCGGAAGCTGTTTCACGTCTTCGAGTACAGTTAGGTGGGGTCCCGGCACGAGATTACGAAGGAGGAAAGGGCTCAGCCCTCAGGGGCTGCTTCATCTGAAACGACCATGTAATTTATTGCCTGAACCCGGACATTATTTTAGAGGAAAGGAGGAAAGCTGTTAGTGACAACGCTGGGAAAAAGCGTAAAGTGGAGGGTTGTGTGCAGACCGACCTCCACCAGCGAGAAGAAACTGCCCCTGCCTCCACCTTCCCAGGCGAGTGTGACACCATCCAGACTAGCGAGAAATTGACCCCAGATACAATCAGACGGAAAGACGCATTTCCAGATTCTACCACTCACTTGGAGTTCTTCAAGCCACTGAAGAAAAGAACCTATTTTTGCCAAGTCTTAAGGAGTATGTGACCAGGCAGACAGGAGCCAAGAAAGGCAGTAGAGAACCAGGTCGCGCTCTGCCCGCCAGGAAGGACCGAGCCCCAGGAGGCAGCCCCAGAGAGGCATGAGCGGGAAGGGAGCCCAGGAAAGAGAGGCCTGGCGCCCATGGCCAGCTGCTCCCCGAGCTGATGGGGAACGCACCTGCCCTCTTCCCCAGTGCACCGCTTCCCTGATCTGCCCGCAGAAGCCCCAGCCTGGCACACTTTGGGGGAAAGTGAGCGCCGCTGTCTGACTTCCTCGTGGGGGCTCAGGCGGGAAGGATAATTGGGAGCAGCTATCAGAATCCAAAAGCCAGGGAGACTGAATTCGAGAAACTGGGAAACGGGGCCAACAGACTCCTGGCCCGTGATTCCCAGATCTGGCGCTGGGTGCCCGCTGTACAGGATAAGGGACCACAGCCGTATCAGCAGGAGAAAGCTGTGGGACTGGTGTCTCCCTGAGGCTGGACGGTGGTGGGGGTTGGGCTCCAGCTAGGTGTGGGGCCCCCAGACGCCTTTGCACCAATGACCACACACTTTGAGTCGTGGACCAGGTGGGGAAGAAGGAAAGGATGGTTTTCGGCTCCCACCCACTCTTTGCCCTGAAAATGGAAGTGGTGGGGGAAGCAGACGGAATCCATACCGGAGTCTTTCTACCTCCCTCAAAAGCTCTGGAACAGATTCGCTGCTCCCAGGAGAGAGCAGACAGGTCCCCTGCATCCCTCTTGCCTGCCCCTCAGCTCAGAAACTCACGGAGATGCAGGGGAGCCCGCCATGGGCCCCCAGCTGCCCGCCTGCAGGGCACGGACAGGAGAGCCTTTCTCTGAGGGCCGGCAGCACCCCACACTGGCCAGCAGCCTGGGGCTTCTGTGGCGACCACTGGGTTCCAAAGAAAGCACCACCAGTGGGGTCAGTGTCGCGAGAGGCATCTCCCCAGCTCTGTTCCGTAGACGCGGCAGTCGCGTGAAGGGGGCTCCGCGGTTCCTCGGGTCTTGGCGTCAGGAGGACAATCAGCATGTCAGTGTGGTCTAACCGCCGGCATTGACTTTGTCGGCACACACGGTGAGTGTGCAGGGCGGGTGGGGAGGACACGGAGGCGGCGTTTGCCGAACTCCCGGGTCTACTCTGTGCGTACACAGGGGACAAGGGGACATGAGCTCGTGGAAGCAGGGAGGCTTTCCCGGGGCACAGGACGCAGAGAGGCCCGGGGATCCAACTACGACCCGCCAAAGCCGAGTTTGCCACATGTGTTCCCTGGCTTCGTCCTCCTCAAAGCCCTTGCAATGGGCTGTGTCCTCAACCTCATCTTGCCCAGCAGGGAAACTGAGGCTCAGAAAGTTTGGCTCGGCCCCCCAGAGTCCACACTGGCAGCATTAGAATACAGGTGGCTGGGACTCTGTCCGCTCAGCCCGGTGGTTCTGCGGACGCCTGCGGTCACTGTTGCTGAGCGAGTAAGGAGGCGGGGAGGAGGGGTGGCGGGTTCGTTGAGCAGGAGCTCCTGGGACGCACAGTGGCCCTAACAGCCTCCTCTGGGCTGGGGGGAGCAGATGCTGAGAGCCCCTCGTGTTCGTCGGCTCGGAGGGGAATGAGAAGCAGGTGTTGGCGGGAATGCCACGCCCGGACTGCCTTCTCCAGAAGCAGGTGGGGAAGAGTGGTGAGAGGAGAGCAAGTGGGCAGCCCGGGCTGGGGCCGGTGGGGGGAAGGAGGCTGTTTCCTAGGACGAGGGCACCAGAGTCTGTCCACAGGCAGGGGGAAGCCCAGGCATGTAGGGAGGGCCTGGGCCTTGGGCATGTGCAGACCTGGGATGGCCTGAAGGTAAAGGCATCCTCGACGCTACGAGCAGCTTCTGCCTTCTAAATCAGAGTCCAGTCTCCGTCTGTGCTCAGCCTCCTTCATCCCGCCAGCTACAAACATCTTTCCAAACCAGCCCGGGCCGCTGCTAGATCCTTCAGGCCAGAGCGAGGGAGCTAGCGTCCACTACCGACGGAGAGAGCCCAGCTCCCAGTGCTGTCCTTCTGCCCCCGAGGTGGAGCACATGGTGGGGTGCCGATCTGAATCCCAGCTCTGCCCCGGGCTGAAGCGCTCGGGGAAGGAGCGCACGCTTCCCGTTATCCTGCTGCCTCTTTGGCTCCGGGACCCCGAGGCCTTCCCTTCACCCAGATGCTAAGCTGGGCCAACTGGTGTCACCTCGGAAGGGCCGCGTGGGTCTGTGGCTCCGGATGGCAGCCCAACAGCCTGGCCTGGCCGTCCGGCGGGGACCCGAGCTGAGTGCAGCCGGAGCCCTGCGTGGCCAGTGGGATGAGGCGGCCGGCTGCTCAGCTAGGCCTAGTGAAGCCCGGCCTCTGGATGGCACCCGGGGAGCTGACAGGCGCTCCCTCCCATTCTGCTGGTCAGTGTCGCCCAGCACCAGACAGAAGCACGGACTTGGCATAGGGAGGGCAGCAAGATGTCGTCCAAGTCTCTGGCTCCGACAATCTGTGGTGTGGGTGCAGCTGGCCTGTCGAGCAGCTCCATCCAAATGAGCGGGTTCCGAGGGCCACTCCTGGCCTGCACTCGATCCTGGCCCCTGCCTGCCTGAGTCCCTGCCTGACCTGGGATCCGGCTCCCCCAGCCGCTTCCCGTCCTGCTTCCCCTGTGGGAGCCCATTCCTCCAGCCAGGACCCCCACCCGCGGCTCCCAGAAGGCACAGCGCCACCAACGTGGCCAAACCCTTCTCGTTCTCCCCTTCTCACTGGGCAGCCACGAGAGTGGCCTGTCGTGCCCTGCACCACACACTGGACAAAAGTGAATGCGAGAACGGCCGTGTGTCCACAGTGTGTGTGCATGCGTGTGTGTGTGTGTGCGTGCGTGCTGTGTGTGCATGTGCACGTATGTGTGCGTGCGTGTGTGTGTGCAACTGCCCTGAGAAGCAGATCGGCCTCTGCTCACACCAACACCGCTGCTGGGAGCCTTAACATCTGCCTCTTCCATGAACAGGACGTGAAGGGCAACTGAAGTTCGATTTAAGAACGAAACTTGAGAACGAGCGCTTAGAGCAAGCAGAACTCCCAGACGCCGTCCTGTTATCTTTCTTAACTAATCCGCCGCTGTTCCGAGCTCAGCTGTCACCCCGCCAGAGAACACCCCCAAGGGTCTGCACGGCATTGGTTCCGCACGCCACGCAGACCAGCAGAACAGCCCACACCCGCTCCCAGGGCCGCACCGTCCCGTGTGCACTCAACCATGGGCTTTTACAGAGGAGAAAACAGACGTGAGAGGGAAAGTGACTGGCCCACGACCCACGACAAGTCCATGGCAGAAGTCAGTTGGACACCCAGGCCCCGGAGGCCGAGTTCATGCTCTGTCTGGTACCGCACTCCCGGCCTTCCCCACCTGTCATACACCTTGCTGTCTCTACTTCCGCGAGAACACATTCTTCTTTCTTCTTCCTTGAGCCCCAAACTGCCTCACGTTCTGCGATCATTCCAGCCACAGCCCTCCTGTCCCTGCCACGGAGAACTGGCCGGTTCCTGGTCAGTGCCCCGACGTGAGCCGGTGGGCAGGTGGCTGGCCTGGGGCTCCCTTGTGCCCCTGCCCCTCACAGCCCCCTGAGGGGCTGCGACTCCCCACTTGGCCGAGGAGGACAGCAGAGGTTTCGGAATGTCCAACGATTTGCCCAAGACACTCCAGCTCACAACCCGTGGGCCAAGCTCTGGAACCCGTGTGCTTCCGGACGAGGCCCCAGAGCTCTCCCCTCTCCTCTCAGTGGGCCTTTGAAGAGGCAGAGGACACATGCCCCCAGCCCCTGTGCCACGCAGCCGTGTGGTCTGACCTGCCACCTCAGACCACTTTCCCAGAGAAGCCAAGAATCCAGAGTTCTATGGGAAATCACTTAATTTTTAGATGATGGGACCTAATTCAGATGTTTCTTCAACTACCACTGGAGGCAAAGAAAACAGCCCATCGCTGAATTCCACACACAGGCCCGTCTGTGACATCTGAATCTGAGTTCCTAGAGGATGTTAAGTTTAAAGAAAGGCTGGTTTGGTGTAAAATTATTAGTTTAGTGTAAAGATCATTGTGTGTTTCTTCATAAGCCAAACAAAACACAGTCTGGATCCTTCCACTTACAACATCCGGTTTCTAAAGTTTCTACAGGATATGAGTTTAGTTCATGTATTTATTTTTTTTAGAGAGAGGGAGAGTGTGAGCAACAGACCGCGAAGGAGGGAGGTGAGTGGGAGGGGAGGGGAGAGACTCTCCAGCAGACTCCCTGCTGAGCACAGAGCCCAACGTGGGGCTCGATCCCACGACCCTGAGCTGAGATCAGAAGTCAGATGCTTAACCGACTGAGCCACCTGGAAACCCCGTAAGTTAGTTCCTTAATGAAGAACCAGCTGTGCACAGCCAGACAGGCCCCTGGCTGACAAAGTCATGCCCCAGCAGGGTCTGCTCTGGAGGACGCTTGCTCTCAACTGACAACTTTCTGAACTCAAGGCCAAGGATGGTTCAACCCCCGGTGGCCCCAGACTAAACGTCCCGATCCAGACACCCGTCCAGCGTGAAGCATTGGAGGAAGGGGACGCGAGGACGGGGGAGGGACGGGGGCTTACCAACAGGCCGTTGGAGCCGTGCACGGTGACGCAGCGAGAGAACGTGTGGTGGATGGAGAGCTCGCGGACGTACGTGGGCGGGTCGTAGCCTCCCTTCTCGTCCACATCGCCCGCCAGGTGGAAGTGGATGGGGTACTGCCCCACCAGTTGCTGCCCCATGTGCCTCAGCTCCACACCCTCCAGGTGCGCTGCCTTAAAGCCCAGTGCAAACTGCAAGAGGGGAGGCGAGGGTCAGAAGGGCTGGAGAGGTGCCCCCGAGCCCCTCACCGTGGCCACGTCCCAAACATGCCCAGTGTCTCGCTAATCCCTGCCTCAGCCATGCAGAGAATCTGACATATGGTGTGCAGATGGGTTAGGGCCTCTGGCCCTCTCACCACCCGGGCACCAAGGACTGTTGGATAATGCACAGATGTTACGAGGTGGTGAACTGCTTGGAACAGCGGGGGCTGGCCTCCACTCCTGCCCTCCTAAGTGGCTGAGTGTCACGAGGAAGGGGGAGCCCCGAGATAAGCCAGGGAGAGGCTGGCATGAAGCCGGCCCCAGGAGGATGGGAATCCAGGGACAGAAGGAGCCTGTGCTCTGGCCTGCGGGCTGTAGGCCCTCCTGCTGGAAGGTTGGGAACGTTGAGCCAGGAACCTCCATCCGCCCAGGATCCCAGGTGTGTGGACGAGCCGTGGGTGTCTCTACTCCAGGAACCCACTGTAAAAGCACAGTCTGGAAATGACTTCTGTCAGAAGCGGGGCTCAGCCTGCTGCTCCAAGAGTAGGAGGATCTTGAGGACACGCTAGCCGTCCTCCCCAGAGCAGGTGTCGAGTGGAATGCCACTCAGGTAAGGACATCCCGAGGACTCGTTGGGGCAAAGCGGGAAGAGGGGCGCCGACGGCTCAGGGATTGCTCTCGGAATGGGAAATGGACTCTGATCCACCGGGTTTCTGCACGGCCCTGGCCCCCCGCCCCCAGAGCCTGACCAGGAACACGAGCGAGGGCTTCAGGAGGCCCTGGTGACTGGGGAGCCCTGCTGAGCACTCTGTGGGTCCCGCTCCTTCTTCAGTCAGAGCACCAGGAAGTCTTATCCTGACAGCACACGGCTGTGGCTTCAAGAGCGCCGTCCACACGGAGCTCCGAGACACCCAGCATCTATCAGCTGTGATTCTACGTCATGGAAAGCAACGGCCACATGAGGAGCGCTGGGGTGTCATGATGTTCGATATGCCGGGACACGGCGCATTGGGTAGGGACGCGGGCAGGACTCCCCCGTGAGCCAAACGCCAGGACGCCCGGAATGCCCTTGCCCTGCAGGACCGCGCCGTGCCGTGCCCGTCCTTGCCTCCACTCTACCGGCAGGCTCACGGGTGCACTCAGCACTCCGACGTCTCGCTTGTCTCCCTGCCTGCGTTCACGTCTGGGTTTTCATGGGTCCGTTGTAAGCACGACTTGTGTGAGTGAAATGCTGGCTCTTCTGGGAGAGGACTGGGGTGAAACATTGGACAAGGGAGCGGGGCAGGGACGTGGCCAGAGCCGTGGAGAGAGAGAGCCCAGGTGAGCGGGGAGTGGACAGCCGGCCCCAAGGTGGCCCCCTCCTGTCTTCCGGCCAGGAGTCAACTGCCGGAACAGCACACTGGGCGGTGGGACTTGCCTTCCAGAAAGTCCCTGCACTTGGTCCTGGCTCCTGCTCCCGTACCCTCCCCAACTGGGGTCCCATACCTTGATGTGGCCCCCGAAGGTGTCGAAGTCGAAGAAGTTGCAGACGTGGTTATTGTAAGGGTAGCACCTGTCCTCCATCTCCCCCCGCACCACGATGTTCCGGCTCAGGAGCCCAACCTCAGCCCGCATGTCCACACCGTCTATCTCCTCCCCGATGTGCAGGTACAGCGGTTTCCCTAGGGCGGAGAGGGGGTGGGAAATCAGTGGCTGCATGTGTATCCGCATGTGCACGGTGGTCCCTGGGGCTCCCCCGGGTCCGTTTCATGGAAGAAGGAAGCCAGGGAAGTGCAATTCCTGAAAGAAGGGCCGGGATTCACAGCCCTGCGGACTTACGCCTGAAGCCCATGCAGAAATGGCTCTTTGTCCCCCAATATCGGTCCCCCTTCTGCTTGCTGGTACGGGGGCCGCCTGTGTTTGAGCTCGACGTATGCTCCCCAGAACCACGCTTCCCAGACTCCCCACTGGTGCGGTCACAGGACGAGCAGAAGCCTTGGGCCGCCCCCGTTCTTGCTCCTTTCCTGGACCGGAACGCCAGTGTGCCCTGGTGAGCCAGCCCCGAGGACAGGGTGCTCTCCCGTGTACCCCAACCCCAGCCCCATCCCTTCCCAGAGTCTTAGGGCCCAGGACTCCCATGACTTCTCTTCTCCCTCATACGGGTTCCTTATGTTCTGCCTCCAAACTCATCCAGATGTCCTACCCTTAAAAAATTATTGAAAGACCCTTCCGCACAACTCAGCTGCCCTTTTAGCTAATGCCAGTCCCCTTTGTGCCGCTTGAGTCCCTGAACAAGTGACCTGGACTTGCCCCACTCCCTCTGTCGGCTCAAACCATCTGATTCCCCTCCAGCCCCGTCCCTCTCCCCCCACGGCAGGTGCACCCCAGGGAGGGTGCAGGGGCACAGGAGATGGGAGCTTTGGGACTGCTTCCTGGTCCCCAGTCTGCCCTCACACCAGCCCCAGATTCCTTCATGGAATAGGGAGACCTTGGCCTGCCTCTAAATGGGGCTCATCACCTGGGGGGGCCCTGAAGAGTCCAGTTCCGCCCACGTTCTGACACTGACCAGGGGAGCATTTGGAACAAGTTCACTCTGCAGCCTGCCGGTTCCTCACATGCTGGGGCTGCTGGCTCAGGCCGCCGAGCTTCGTGGCTTCACAGTTTTGAGGTCCGGAAGCCGGGTCCCCTCTGGCTGCCCGTGTGGGAGCCCCTCCCTCCACCCCGGGTTGGTCTCCGCTCTGTGAGCGTCACTGTTGTGCCAAAGCCGTGGGCCTCCAGGCGGGTGGCAGGGACTAGAGTCTCTTGCGCAGAGATTTGCGTGGGGCTCTGAGAGACCTGGCCGGGCAGGGGGCAGTACAGACAGGAAACTGCTCCCGAGGCAGTGTCCGATCGCTGGTGACGAAGGAGCCTTCCCTGCTCACCGGCTTCAAACGCCCGACGTCCAGCCACGGACGCACAGAGCTTGATCACAAAACCCCTGGCCTGCCTGGCCTCATGCCTCTGAGTTTGCTGGATGCAGACCTTCTTTTCCTCACAGGTGGACATCCCAACGGGCAGCAGACAGCACCCAGAAAAGCTTCAAAGGCTCCTCAACTCAGCAACACACCTCCCACTGTTCCCAGCGTGCAGAAGGACTGACTGGCCAACCGGTGCCCCAGAGGCCGCTCAGCGCTGCCCAGGAACCAGCCGGCGTGAGGGCCGGGCCCCTGAGGAGCCGGGTTCTGGGAGGGCCAGAATGGAGCGCGTTTCCTGCAGGGACGGACCCCGAGGCTTGAGCACAGGAGGGAAGATTTGGTGCAGAGAGCGCGGGCTCAGTGCTGCTGGCCACAGACAGGAGAGGAGCCCTGAGGGGCTCAGATCCCGTCTCCCAGCCTGCAGGACGCACAGGGCAAAACCCCGGGCTCTGCGGGCTTCTGTGTCATGGCTCCCGCGCCCACCTCTGTGGCAGCCTGAGCAGAGCCCCCAGCCCTCCCTGAACGTGCCTTTGCTACTTCGCTTCTCCGCGTGCCTGCCTAGATGCCCTCCGGCTGGGCCGGCCCTGTCCACCCGGCCTGAGCAGCAGATGGCTTTGTCCTTCCAGATCCTGCTCCAGTGGCCAGGACAGCAGGCCTCCCTCCCAGGCACACATGACCTGACGTCCAGCCGCCCTTCATGGCATGCACATTTTGGGGGTTGGTGCCCCCTTAAACTGTGGGGAATGGGCAGAATGCTGACCAGAGGGCCTTCCCCCGGGATCCCTGGTCCCCTTGAACACAGCGGGAGAGGGAGGGGAGAGGCTGCAGAGGACCGTGGCTCTGGATCCTGACTCAGATGATGGCCGCGAGTCCCCGCACACGTCACTGACGCTCCCCGAATCTCGGGCTCTCCTTCTGTAAAATCGAGCTGTTGCTAGCATGTGTCTCGAACGTAGCTATGCTTGTGGATGGAGTTAATCCTTGGAATGAGCTTCGAACTGCCCCTGGCACGTGGCAGGGATGGGTGTGGCCCTAATGGCCCATGCAGCGGCCACCGGCGCTGTCCTCAGGGGAAACGGGAGCCCAGGGCTCCCCCTACTGCCTCACAGCTCCAGGCTGCTCCATTCAGGGAGCGGAAGACGGAGGGACTGTGTCTACCAGGCTCCCGTGAGCCGAGCGTGCAGGACCGGGCAGCCGAGAGCTGAGCGCCCAGTGTGTTCCCGCCGCCTCCTCCCCGCACCGTGGAGCCCGTAGAGGATCTTTACAAAACCCCAAGCGGGGCGATCGGTCCTGCTGCCGCGTCCATAGGCCACCATCCCCCAGATGGCTGCCTGGGGAGAGCTGCGTGCCCTGCTCTCCCTCCCTCCCTTGCTTCCTGCAGCTCTGGTGCACGAGGACCGACCAGGGAAGACCCCCAGATTGTCCTAAATAATCCAGGAAGGCCACTGTCATGGGGTGGGGCTCGGGCTGGAGGGTCCCAGAGAGGCTGTCTCAGCCACACAGCTCCCAGGTTCCTGGCCTGGGCCAGTCGTCTTTGAGCAGAGACCCTGCAGAGGACGGAGTAGGACAGGGAGCCTGGGAGCTGGGGAGCTCGGAGTTTGAATCCTGGCTCCAGTTGGCCACACAGACTTGCCTGGTCTACACCAGCTCGCCCTCCTAGGATGGCTGAGGTGCGGGAGATGCTCTACAGTGTGCCGTCCAGGATGCTGGCCACCGGCCACCTACAGCCACTGGCCACTTGGAAGAGGGCTAGGAGGACCGAGGCGTAGACTGCCAAACTTGGATTTTAATTAAATCTGAACAGCTTCGTGTGGCTGGTGACCGTCCTGGACATCTAATGTCCCTGCACCTGAGTGTCCTCCTCTGTGTCCCGCAGAAACGGGGCTGCCACGTTGTTAGGGGACCACGAGGAGCGAGCAGACGGTCTTGTAAGGCGCTTGGCAGTCACGGGAAACAGAGAACGGCCGTATGAGGGAGCAGGTTAACTGTGGTATTACCGAGGGGCGCGTGCTGGGGCCAGGGAGGGGGGTAGCGTGAGAGCTAACGCAGGGGGTCTGGGGAGGTTTCCGGGTGCGAGGTGGGAGGTGCGGACAGTCACCCTGCGGAGAACAGTGCTCCAGAATGTTCTGAGATGACTCACACTTTCGTGACTTGGTGGTTCCCATCTGTTTGCTGTCAGAAAACCCTGCACAGGCGCGGAGGCCTGTTTCCTGGAACGGGGGGGCCGTGAGGAGGGACGATCCGGAAGGACGTGTCCTGCTCTGCAACCAGCCTGGGGGGGCCCGAAGGGGGGTCCCAAGACTTCACATATCTCCTCCCCCTGCACCAGGGCCCACAGTGGCCCCGTCTCAAGGTCCGTCCAGCCTTCGGAAGGCTCCGGAGGCAGCTGGGCCTGTGAGTCGGCCGCCAAGTGGGGGCGCTCTCCTGAGTCCGCTCCCCAGCCACACCGCTGGGTGAGGCAGCAGCCCTAACAGCACCTTGTTCTTGAGGCCACTCGGCTCTCAGGAGCTGCTGAAAGGGAAACCTGGCCCCCCCCAGGCCTCGGGGTGCCTGGCACAGGGGTGCAGATGCGGGCCAGGCTGGGCAGACCTGGGGGACCTTCCACCCCTCCAGGTGCCCCTGCGTCCACCCCACCAGAGACCACGCGGGCTGCCCCAGAACCCCGCACTGGCATCAGCTCACGCTGTCTCAACGCCCCTCCTGCAGAGCGTCCAGGACACTGATGTCCCAGGAGGGCTGTGCATGCGAACCAGCCCCGGGGGACACAGGAGTCATACAGGGTGGGCCGCGGCTCTGACCCTCACGGGGCCCGAGCTTCTCTGGGCACCCTATTGTAACTGGGGGCGTGGGGAGGCTTTCCCACCAGGGGGAATGCCACAGGCTGGTGTAGTCGGCGGGAAGCCGTGTCCCCTGCCCCCAGCCCCACGCGGCCCCTCTGCCCCTCATTCCCGCTGCTCTGGTCCTCCTTCATGGCTGGGACACTGCATGGGTCCCCAGCACAGTGCCCTGCACTATGCTGTCCCCCTCTGACGGTCCAGGCCACCTGCCCCCTGGTGAGCTCCCAAGGGCAGAGGACACATTTGTCTGGCCCATCGCCTGCCCCATTGGCATTTCCTGTGTTGAACAAACGATGCTCTCCCTCCCACTGCCCTGTGTGTCCTCAGGAAAGGAGCAGGGCATGCCCAGCCTGGGGGCGGAGGGACACGCGGGGACACCTGCGCTCACAGAGCCTCCCGCCTCCACGCCCGGAGGCATCAGGACACTCAGGACAGGACCAGTGACCGACCTCAGCCCGGGGCTGCTGAAAACGATGCACGCGTCTGCCTTTCTCCCTCAAGGGTCTTTACCTACAGAATGGACTCTCCCGGCACCATCTCTGTCCGCCCTCAAGCTCAGGTGCTCCATGATTGCAGAATCCTGCCAGGGATAGCTGCTGACATTTACGGAGCGCTTACTGCATACTGGGCGCTGTTCAAAGGGCCTCACCCTGAAGGGTTCAACCCGCCCATCCTCACAACCCCGGGAAGCGGTCATGATCTATGATCGTTGTGTTGTTTTACAGATGGGGAAGCTGAGGTACGGGGAAGTTAAGTACTTGTCTGAGGTCACGCGGCTGGCAACCACATTCCTGCCACTCGGAGCCTGTGCTCTACCAGAGAGAGAAAGGGCTGGAGGGGAGGGAAGGAGGAGAGGAGGGAGGGAGGAGGGAGGGTGGGTGGGGAGGTAAAGAGGGCGAGAAAGAAGGAAGGCACCTTCCCAAAAACGTCTTCAGGAAATGAGACCAACAGCATGCCCCGATCTAATAGACAAGTCCAGCCAGAGCTGGTACCGAGCATCTTTGTAAGGAAAGCTTGCGGGGGACTGTTCTCACCGCTGTGCACGCGGCCCTGAGCCCCGTCCCTCCGTAGCCCAGGGCCTCGGGGAAGCTGCGTCTCTGGGCCTCTGTCCTCCTTTTCACCGGACAACAGTAAGGAATCTGTGATTTTTCTTTCTCTCGCTGCCAAGAAGCTCGGAGACAGATTTATGGTCTGTTTCAGTAGCTTTTCCTAACTTCAAACCGCCCCCCCCCTTTTGTTGGATGATTCTTCTCACACCAGAATGTATTATATCCACGCGTATCTTTCCCTTTTTTTCTCTCCTGGATGAAGATTTAATTGGACTTGTCTTTATTGTAAAATATCCCCAAATCTTTTCCAAAGAAGGCAGGGGTTCGAACAAATGACAGTTTAAAAAGGCAGAGTCTGTCAGCGTGTCAAGCACGGCCGTGAGTCCAGCCACACGCAGCAAAGCCGTCGGCTCCGGGACACCCACAGCCTTCCCTTCTCAGGGTCGGCCCTCTAGGACCACAGCCACAGACTGCGGGGGCAGCCTCCAGGGTCCATGGCCCTCGAGAGTGGGATAAGGGGATTGGGCTCTACCACCATTGCCCAGGTTTTTTAAAACCTTTGTCCCCCCAGATTCCTTCCTAAGCACATCCCCACCAGCCAAAAAGATTGTTTGACTTTCTGTAGTTTTATTTCCAAAGTGACAGATAATTTGGATACATCTCCGCCCATGTTCCTCCTCCTTCCCTCAATCCTAGACCTTTACCAGGGGCCATGGTCCTGTACTGGCTGGTGGTTATGATGCCTGGGATGGAGTCTCCTTTCTTCTGGCCTTTTCTTCCCCAATTTGCCTTGGGGGAGGGACCCCTTTCTCCATTCAATAGGCGCACTGCCAGAGAGGGCCATGTGAGCCCCCAGCCCAAGTGGGCCCTATCTCCCTGGAAGGTGGCATGAGCACTATGTCCAGGGGACCTCGCAGGGACCTTCAGGACTGCGATGCCCTGAAGACACGGCCCACTCGCTCCCACTACCCTGACCCCGAAGCAGCCCTGCCCCCATCCTCATGCAGCGGGGTACATCCCTTCTTGAAGACCAGCAGCACACCGGACAAATTCCTCTTTTGCTTACGATAGTCAAGTTGGATTCCACCGCTTATAACCTAAGAGCCCTCCTGGGACATAACCCTCTCCACTAATAAACACGGGCCGGGACGACACTTTTAATCCTAACAATCTGAGATTCCAGGAAACTCGCACAATGTACATTGCCGTACCACTAAGTCAACAATGAGAAGAAAAAGGCACCAAAGCTACAGAAAGAAGAAGTTTAAATTTCCCAGTCACTCGCATTATTGTCTAACAAGAGTCACTCCCTTCCCTCAACCTTGATGGGACAAATCGGCTGACCCGCCCTGTGCGTGTGGAGCTTAAGCACACTCTGTGCTTTGTCCAGTGGCATGTGGGTGTGAGAGCTAGTCCTGAGCCCAGGCCCTGCGTCCTCTGTGTTTCTGCTCTCTGGAGCTTTCCACCCCCCCACGGGAAGAATATGCCTTGAGAAGAGCGAGAGTCCTGCGCACTGACCAGAACCCAGCTGTCGTCCCAGAGCCAAGCTCTGTCTAGAGATGCTGGACCCTGGATCAGCAGCAGCTGCATGAGTGAGAAGTACGTGCTTGTCGTGAGGGTTTGAGGTCTGTTTTGTTACGTAGCATTATTGTGGCAAGAGCTGACTGATACGGACCTGTTGTGATTTCCCAGGGCGGGCTTAGCGGAAGTCTCACCTGCCACTCGGACCTGGTTGGGGGCACAGGCTTTGCAGGGTAGCACCTGGAACTCCTCTGCCTGGTACATGGAGTAGTCAGTACTGGCGATGACCAGCATGTCCCCGGGCTTCCACGATCGAACATCGTCCTCCAGGGTCAGAACGGTGCTGTTCACGTTGGTGTCGATGGTGACGGTGAGTTTGGGCCTCACTGAAAGCCCAGACGGGAGGGGCTGAGGTAGAACCCTGCGTTCTCGGCCAACGTTTGACCCCACGCCTCTTCCCTTTCCCTCCCTAGATAAATGCCAGGTTTGCCTATCCAAACCCAAATCACCAGGCTCAGCCCATCCCAGTCTTGGTGCAGGTTTTTGAAGTCAACAAAACCGTAGCAGAAAAGAGCCATTCATTAGCTCCAGGCAGGGGAATTTTCCAGCAACTCCTTAGTCAGAGTTGAACGTGGCAGCCCACCACACCCACTTTGCTCAAGATGTAAAACAAATACAGTTCCTCTCAACTATTATTTACGGGAGCTGTAAGCCCTCCCCCCGAGAGCACTCATCCCTAATGACCACCTTCTGGGGAAGGCCAAGTGCCTCCGCGAACAACCCGGCCATTTCCCGTCCCTCCTAACGAGCACCTCGGGAGCCGCGTTTAAAATAACAGCACCCAGCGGCCACGGGCTCACGTCTCCGCAGGGGAGGGCTGCAAGATGTCAGCCCTGGGCCACGGCACCCTTGTCTTCTTGGGCTGGGCCCTTCCCCTTCCTGAAAGGCATATGGGCAGCTGGGGCCTGGCCGGCTCCTGCCAACTCTGAGGACCATCCCACGGCTCCCGGGTCGCAGAAGGGCTGTCCACGGCGAGCTTGGCAGAAGCGCCATGTCACCGAGATGTCCCGGGGCAGCGACCCAGCCGCAGCCAAACTCCCAACGGCCAGCTCAAGGAATGAGCCGCGCACGGCTGCGCTGCGTGTCCCCGGCAAGCGGGTGCTTACCAGGCTTCCCACACAGGAACCGCACGCGGTAGGTCCGGCAGGCTCGGCCCCGGTCGTAGCACACAAACCTATAATCCTGGCCTTTTTTGTAGACGACCTCGGTGGTGAGGTTAACGCCATCCGCCGTCGTGGCCTGGAAACGGCACGGGAATTACAGAGCAAAATCATTTTCATGTGCGTAACGGAGAAAGGCGATGACTAATGGCATCAATATCCACTCACACGTCTAAAACCGTCCCTGATGCCGGAATTGTTTCCTCGGGCCCAAGGTGACCATGGAATGACCGGGCCTCGCTTTTGTGCTAAGAAAACCGTTTTGTTCTGAGGAAGACAGTGTGACGACACAGGGTGGGGACATGCCTCGCTGGGGTCCCAGGGCGGTCCGTACCCAGACCACTGATTTGCTGGGACTCCTACCACCCACACCCTGCCATTTATTGAGGACCCCTCTGTTCATCGACAGGTGTGGGGAGCCCTTAAAAATACTCATGCCCAGGCCCCATCCCCCGGGGCTCAGATCTGGTATGTCCACGTGTGGCTGGGGATCAGAACATTTAGAAGTGGCCCAAGTGGTTCCAGAGGGCAGTCCAGTTATAGGACTAGCAGTTATAGGGCTAAGTGCTCGGCATATTATCTCATTCCATCTTCACGGCAACAATGAGGTCACTGGCTCTACAGATAAGGGAACCAGCCTTCCGTGGGTGAGTCACTTGCCCAGGGTCAAACAAGCCAGTGGGAGGCAGAGCCAAGATTCGAATCCAGACTCAGCCAACCACAGAGCGGGTACACCTCCCCACTGCGGCCGTCCGGCACACAGCCCAACGTCCTCTGTTCAACGTCTGTCTGCTCCCCCGGGATCCTGAGCTCCGGGGAGGGCAAGGGTCTGGTTTCCACCTGTCTCCCTGATCCCGGATTCCAGCCCGGGGCTTGGCACGGACTGGGGTCTCCGGGATGGGGCCGACGGGTGAGCAGCCCCAAGGCCAGGTAGAGAGTTTAGGGAGCGGGCTTCGAGGAGGTCACGCTCCCTGCCAGCTGGGGCTCATCCCGGAGCCCGGGTGTGCCTGTAGCAAAAGCCCGCGGCTGTCCTCAGAGACAAGCAACTGAGATCCAGGCCGCAGCTGTTGTCCTCTCTGGCACAGAGACCAAAGAGACCCGGGCCGGGAAATAGGCAGGAAAAGTAGAGTCAACCTATTAAAAAGGAGGGCGGAGCGGGGGAGCTTTTCAGGAAACATTAGCTTCAACACAGCAGGTATCTGTTGTCATTGGCCTCAAAGAAGAGCTCTAGGGCAGGGAGCTCCCTGGCATCTCGAAAACCCAGCCCTTTCCTGCAAGAGTTGAGCTCACCCCCATCATCTCTGGTGGCCTCCAGCGCCCTGGGAGAAGCGGGAGTTGCAGACCCGCCCTTGGGAAAAAATGAAGGCTCAGAGGTTTTTAGAAGCCAGCTCAAGGTCAAGGTTGTTGGACTATCAAGCTTGGCTCCTCTGAGGTCCCACTGTTTTCCGTGGAGGCCAGAGCCTGTCCTTCTGCAGGAGACCCCAAAACACGGAGAACTGAGCCTGAAAACACCAGGGAATGGAACCAAACCTTTTCCCAGGCACAGTGTTCCACACTTTGGGGGGGGGGAAGCATCTATTCAACTCTGCGTGTTCCTCCCCCTCCTTTTCCTAAACCTGAGGAATGACCTCACTTTGGGATAAGAAGAGAAAAAGGTGGTTCTGCCACTGTTCAGGGAAACTGGTCTCCGCCCTAAGTAGACACAAGTCTATTACTATTTTTGATAACTAATAATTATAAAATAATAGTATGATTATGACAATAATCATAAAATATTTTTTAAAATTATGGGTCCTTCATACATCGTTGTATAACAACCACAAAATAATCCCACAGGGAAACAGTGACAATCCCCGATGTGCGTTGTTACTGAAGAGGAAATTGGGACCCTGAGTCACCTCACTGAGCTCCGCTGCCAGGACTGGGGTGAGGGCGGCGAGGTTTAGGGCGGTGGTCACCTCAGGGCCACAGGAGCGCAGGGACGGAAGCTTCAAGAAAGGGCCACCGTGACCACTGCACCCCAACCCTTGACCGCTTCCTGGGCCTTTCTTTAGCGAAGAAAAAGCCAAGATCCCATTCTGGAGTTGAGAGCTGTGAATCGATAAGGGGCCACCAAGCTCAGCAAAATGTTGTCACGGAAGGGACTTCTATGAGCGGCCACCCGGGGGTCCTAGAGGATGGGGTCAGGTCCCTTGGAGGGTCTCAGATGATGGAGCTGGAGAGCCATTGTACCCTCCACTATTTTGCATTTTATATCTACGTGAGCTCGTCCCCGCTTTGTTGCCTCCAAGCCTTCAGTGAAGTTTTATTTCACCCTTTAGCCTGGGATTGGTTGTGCTTCGACGTCAGCAGGTGCCCGTGTCCATGCCGGGAACAGAGGCACTGGGGGAATGGGAGACACCTACGGGAAGCGGCCACAGGGACGTGGTCTCCTAAAGGCAGTAGTCCGGAGCCCGACGGCTGGCAGAGCCGACACCGGGAGGCGTCCGTTGACCATGTAAGTGTTCCTGGAGGATTTCGAGAAATACTTGGGGAGGGGAGGGGAGCAAGGCCGGGACTTGCTGTGGCCAAGGGACCTGGAGGAATAAGACTAAGGCTGGGATGTTCCAGGTTGAAAGAGAAAGTTAGAATTAAATCTGGGGCCTTTGGGGGCACTGGCCCTTCTTGATCCTACTGGACCCAAAACAAGCCTAGAGCCCGCGGCCTGAGCTCACTCGGGTCAGTCCTTCTCGAGGATGCACAGCCCTGTGAGCGGGTGGGGGTTCCTAGCCAAACGGGAACGGTCTGCCTGCGAAGCCGGTGAGTTGGGAGCACCACTTGTTCACGCGCCGCTCAGCAGAGAGCCAGGCTGGGGGAGGGGGCTGAGCTCAGCCAGCACCCCAAAACTCATTTGGGGCCTGTGCACTGAAGGTCCCCAAGGAAATCGACTGAGAAGGGAGGCTGAAGGAGACAGCCCGTCCCCAGGCTGGGGCACTGTCCACCATGGCTATGGAAGCTGCTTGAGGAGGAGTGGGGAGTGGAACCCAGGAGGGAGCGATGGGCCCTTGTTGGGGAATTCCCTGGCCTGGCCGGGAGGCCTGGAGCCGAGAAGTGCTTCTAGAGCGGGAACGGGACTTCCCGGCTCAACTGAGTCCTGGGAGCGCGGGGAGAATCGCACCACCCCAGTGGCAAGAAAGTCAGACTCCGTTTCCGAAATAAAGTCTTTGTCACTCTTGATCATTTAGAGTTTGGTACCTGGATGTCGATGGGGCGATTGCAGATCTTTCCTGGGTGAGCGACCCGGAGGTCTGAGATTTTCTCCCCGCCTTTAGTGTGCACCACTCTGTCGTGGTCAAACCACTCCGTCCACTCCACATCTAGGCCGAACGCAAAGAGCAGGGTGAGGTGGGAAGGGCCCAAGAGGGCAGGTGCCCCACAGCGGGGCCCCCGACACCCCCGGGGCCAACAGGAATCGAAAACCATGCGTCCAGCTGTGCCCCAAAGCAGTCGCCATGTCTCCCACCTTTTCATTAAAAACATCTCTTAACTGACTTTCTCATTTTCTAGAAGCCATAGAGTCTATCTTCTTCGGGACCGCAGAAGGGGTGACGATGAGAGCTACGGTCAGCTCATTTCTCGGGCCGGGGGGGATGGTGCTGCTCTCTGCACCGCAGCCCCCACGCCTGGCTACCTGAAGGCCGGTCCTGCTCCCTCTCGCCTGTTTCCTATCCAGCACCGCTGCTTGGGGCAAAGAGGATTCCGAGAGGGGGAACAGCGTCCTCTGGGCTCTTGGCCACTCGGGACTGATCAATGAGAGACACCCGCCCTCGCTAATTTAGTTTACTCAGCAGCATCGGGGGTCTTATTGGCGTAAGAGAAAAACCCTTGTTGTGCGAAGACAGAACGTCCTGCCCTTTGCTCCCAGCGCCCGGGTTTTCCTGGTCGTGCCGAACGGCTCACCTTGAACCCACTCGCTGGAGGAAGAGACGTTGAAGTGCTCGCCGTGCTCCGTCTGGAACACTTTGGACACCCGGGCGGCCGCCGAGCCTCGGTGTCCTGTTGGAGAGAGCGGGGGCGTCGGCGACCGCAAGCCCCACCCCCACATCCCGAAAAATGTAAATAATCCCAAGACGGAGCCAACCCCCAGCACACATGGATCTTGAACTCTTTCTTAGAAACAAAAACCATTTCAGGCCCGTCTCTCTACCAGGGAAGGAGATTTCCTACGGTCCCTTCTTTTGCTTCAGTTTTGAAGATTTGATTTCCGTGGCTGACAAAGCTGAAGCCCCGATTTCTCCCGCGGATTCCTGTCTGGGAATAGGACCTGCGGGGCTTTCCCACAGGTGGTGAGGGCCCACCCAAAGTATCTTTTGGGCTCAGAATATTCTCCCTGGAGGGTCTGTCCCCGTTCTCGCCTGTCCTAGGTCCCTTGTTCTGAGTAAGTTAGTGGCCGTCTCCTTGCAGACGTAGAAACTGTCTTAGCGATCGCCTTTGGCCACTTTGGCGAAACACGGCCAGCAAGCGTGGGTGTGGGGGGTGGTTCCGCCGGGTTCGGAGGGAGGAGGGCGGCTCAGAAAGCCCCGGGCCTCTCGATCAGGGAGAACGGAGGTGGGGGGGGGGGGGTTCTGCCTCTCCTCAACTATTTATTACCGTGATACTCGATATGGTCTTCGACCGAAGAAGAGGGATTTCCTTTCACGGTGAGGAAACTCCAAGGGTGTCTGGTAAAAGCAACAATAAAATGTAAACATCTTCACCCGCCTGGGCCTGTCCCAGAGGCAGAGCAGAGGCAGAGCCCGCGAGCACGCAGCCCTCCCCGCTGTGCCCAGGAGACCCGCTGGCGGCCGGGCTTCCCTCTCCCGGAGAACAAGAGCCCTGCTTTGTTTCCTCCCTTCCTGGCTCGCCCGCCGCTTACTCGCCGTGAGCCTCTTAACCCCACTCCGGTGGGAGACGGGCACGGATCACGAATGAACAAGCCCGCGGCCCTACAAACCAAACCACCCGCCAGGCCCAGCTGGGTCCCGGAGCGAGGGTTCCGACAACTTTGGGAAAACAAGGACGGAGGATCCAGGAGAGAAGGGCTCCTTCTGCAATGCCCTGGCCTCGGAAAGTCGGGAGAGGCCCCTCGCTCACAGTGGGGGACAGAGGAGGAGAAGCCGAGGGAAGGCGTCCTCTGCTGAAGCTGGCTCTGAGGCAGGAAGGTTTCCCTCCCCGTTTCTGTCTTCCCTCTGACGCCCGTCTTCCGTCCCGCTCTCCCCTCTCACCGTGGGACGGCAATCGCTCACCGTACTCAAGACCTTCTGTTGTTTTTGTTTTCATCTTGGAAAGCAAGTGTCTACTGAGGTTGGGGATTTGGTTGGTGGCTCTCTCGCTTAAGAGCCATCAGTGGCTCCCCCGTGCCCTCTGGATGAAAGCCAAGCTCCCGGGTGCAGAGCAAAACGTCTTCCTGTGCCCACCTCCTCAGCCTCGTCTCTGTCCCCCCCCACCCCCGCCCCCCCCTCTGCTGCCTGTCCCCCTCCCCCGCCTTCGGGAGAGCCCCACGCTCAGGCCGGGCCTTGGCGCCCGCAGTCCCTCGTGGGAACTGCCTGCTCTCATCCCCACCCGCCCGTCTGTGCCCCAAGCCCTTCCCCCACCCTCGTGCTCACGCTTCTCACCACTTCTCTGTTGTTCCTGCTGCGCACGACAGCTCAGCCCGTCCCGTCGGGCCCACAGCCTCGTGCCAACACCGGCCAGTAGCCACGTTCTGAGAGCACCAACCGTGGCCGCCACAGACCTCAGTTCTACTGATTCTAGATGCTCTGAGTTGGTCCCTCAGAGCGTGTCTGCACAAACGAGGACCAAGAGTGCAATTCCTGCCCACCCGTGTGTGGCCCTCAGGGGAATGGCCATGACAAGGCCGGGCAAGCGTCCCTCCTCCCAGCGGCCACTGCTTCTCAGGACAGAGCGGATGCTAATGTTTATGGAATCCTGATTCTGTGCCAGAGGGGGCGGCACTTGCTTTGGTACTTAGTATCGCATGGGACCCCTCCCCCTGCTCCGGAAGTCATCCACTTCACAGGTGCGGGGACCGAGCAGAGAGAAAGGGTCCCCACCCCCGCAGGGACACCTGCCAGGACGGACAAATCCGGACTGCACCGGGGCCGGGGCATGGGCCCTTAGCCGTTACCCTCTTCTGCTGACCCCTAAGTAGCCAGTCCCCTGGTGGTTCTCACTGTCCTTGTAAATCCATGATAGGCCTTTCGGTTTATAAAACAAGGAAATGGAAGCCCCTCAGTGTTTGCTATCAAAGGAGCCTTGAGAGAAAAAGGTGTCCTTCAAGGTGTCATCTTTGATGGCCTGAGCTCCCTCTCTAGACCCTTCCAGAAGGAGCAGCCCCTGGGCAGTGAGAGAAGACACCGTGGAACCCGGAACACCGCCCAGCCGCCCCCTCCCTTGCCGGGGGGAGCTCAGCTCAGCCAGGGAACCGGCTTCACTTGGAGCCCAGGGGAGGCTCTTCTGGCCCCCGACCCGCCTGGGGTTCTGCGGAGCTGAAGGGAAGGGCCCTGCTGTCTTCCAACAGCCCCAGGCTGGAGGACTTGACCTTCCACCGAACTGAGAGCTGATCAACATGATGGAGAGGTGCGGCCAGGTGCCATTGTGCGTGCACGCCAAGGTCGGGCACGAAGCTCTAACCCGAGACAGACCAAACCCGGTAGCACATCAAAGGCCCCTCTCCCCGGGGGCTGGGCTGGGCAGGCACCTTACAGGCTCCCTAAGCAAATGTCTGTCCGTGCCTCTCAGGGCACACGATGGCCTCTTTGCCAAAGAACGGGCAAACGAAGCTCGTGGCTCATCAGAGACAGGGATTCCCGCAGCAGATGGCCGGCCGATGTTTTGTAAGCGGCTGAACGAACGAATGAGTTCGTGCGGACCGAGACCTTCTGTGTTTTCAGAGTGGACTATGCTTCATAAGAAAATCCGGGCTCCCGGATGTGCCCACTGCTCCCCAGGCCGGCACTGAGCGGAACGCGCCGCGATCAAGGAACGGACGCTAAGACAACCTGCGGGCCCGGGGTGGGGGGGACTCGGGGACCTGGAGGTTGGCAGGGGCAGGAGAGACGGAGGCACCTGAATCCGAGGTGTAGGAAGTGTTTGCTGCCCAGCCTGGTCATGGCCTTCCTGGCGGCGTCGTCCAGGTTCCGAGACCCCTCATCGTTCACGGCCACTGAGAGGATCCTGCCCGCGGGCACCGCGTTCAAGTACTGGGCCAGACGCTCGCTCTCCTTCTTGGATCTGTAGGTGTCAAATCTGGAAGGGCAGAGACGGCGGTTCCACTGCCCCGACAGCGGCTCCCCAAAATGGGACGCGCGCATTCCAGCAACCAACATGCCTGCCACAGACCCCGAGGCTGGGATTTTCTAAAGAAAGGGAGCTCTCATGACGGCAAAAGCCACTTTCCCAAACTCGACGGAGGTAACCCACTCTCACACAGGAGACACCCGTGATGCATGATCTCAAACAGCAGCCTACCCCACCTAGGACGAGCGTTACGAGGGAAAGACACGATTTTGTAATGACCTCCAGCTACGCGCCATGTGACCTAAAGATTTGGGACAATTGTAAGGGAAATTCCAGAAGAATCTGTCTTGGGGCTTAAGCAAAATCATTCTAAAACGGATCTAGAAGAATAAACCAGCGTGAATGGCCAAGATGCGGGGAAAGAGAAACGGTGGTGGTACAGGGGTGGTGGGGGGTGGTGGGACCGGTGCTCCTGAGCCCTCAAACTGGTTTGCAAATGTTTGTGCAAGCTGGTGTGTCCCTGCCAAGGCCCCTCATCCTCCCCTCCCCACCCCCGCCCCCGAGAGCCACCTGCTGCAGCCTAGCTCGTCTCCGTCTCCGAGCTGTGACCACACCACACACCTTAACACATCCCTCTCTGCCTGGCCACATGCTTCCTACCTTTGAGGTGCTGGCCTGCATTCTCATTCCTCCAGGTAACCTCACTGACCATAGCCTGCACACGCGTGTGCGTCTATAAGGTTTCTTAAGATGTTACATGCATTCTGCTATCAGGCTCTCGAGGCCCCGGACCCAGGCTTTCACCAAAGGAAATTTAGAGGGAGCAGCTGTCCCGTCTTTGCAACCTGCACACCAGCTGTTGGGATGACTTCTCCTCCCACAGCTCAATAGGGCACGCACTGGAGCCCAGAGCGCCACAACGGACACCGTCCTACTGATTACAGAGGCAACGCCGAGAGGCCAGCGTGCCGCGTGGAAAGGGAGGGCTCTCGGACGCACTCTGTGCCCATCAGGCTTATCCTGGCTTCCCAAGTTACCCGTGCGCCGGCATCTCTCAGCCCCAGGCCAAGACAGGTGTCCGGATGGAATGTGGATTAAAGGTCTGTCTGGACAGATCTGGGTGTGAATCCCAGCTCCGACACTTTCTGGCCTTGTGACTCAGACCAAATGGATTCCCCTGAACCCCAGTGTTTTCCTCTGTACAAGACGGAACCTACTCCTAGGGGTCATGAAGGTAAATCACAGATGGCCAGTAAAGTGGTTCACACGATGTTTTGGACACAGTCCAGTGATCGTGCACCTGTCCCTGCCAAAAACCCCGACGTCACTGGACCACGCTGCCATAGATCTGCACCCTCACCCTCTGCTGGCCCTTCTCCTCTTCCAGACCATCATGCTCCCCTCACCACTGGCCCTTTGCACTTGCTGCTTGCCATCTTGAACACTCTCTCCCTGACTCATCTTTGCCCTGCAGTTCTCAGCTCAAATGTTGCTTCTCTACACTGGTCTTCCCTGACCCACGGATGCAAACCAGGCGTCCCTAGTTACCTTCTGCCATTTCCTTGTGTCGTTCCCCCTAATCAGCACGATCTGCAATGATGCAGTGTCTACGTGTGTGCCCGCCTCATCGTTCCTGTTAATTCAGCTTCGGTAGCCAAATGCCCGGGGCGGGAGAGACGTGTCTCCTCCCTCTGGGGACTTCTGTCCGATTGGCTCACTGCTGTGTCCCAGCACCCAGAGGCACATCTGGCCGGGGCACGTGCTCCAGGACTGTCAGGAATGAAGGGCTACATGCTTACGTGAGGGCAGACCTTACCGGTCCGAATGGATGACCGTTGCCGATTTGGGGTCGATGACGTGAACAATGACTCCACGGTGACCCCAGCTCCTTTCAAAAAAATAGCCTCCTTCCTCCATGCCGCCTGGGCGAAGGGTCTTGTTCAGAAATGTCCAAGAGAGCTTTTTCTGTCCGTGTAACTCCAGCGTGCCTCCTGGGCCCACCCCAATGTACTTGAGGCCAAAGTAAGGGTCGGGCTGAACTCCTTCGTCGGCCCTACAAGAGAAACAGCTCCCCGGAGTCAGCCGACTGTCTGTTGCTCCACCGGACACTGAGCCCAGAGGGGACCACGCTGCTCCCGCCACGGCCACCAGAGAACCAGACACACGTGGTGGCTGCCTGAGGCCAGCAGACAGCGTCACCCACATCGTCCTAACCAGACCCAAACAAGGCCAGAAGGCCGAGCGAAAACACTCATCACTAGTTCACATTCCCAGCGCTAGGAGTTTTCTATGCTGGCTCATCTGGCCGCATACTACAGACCCTCAAATACTCTTGGCTTCCGCTCCTGAGAACCTCAACTGTTTGAGGAGGGACCACAGCCAGAGGCCAACACAGAGGTTTTCCTTCCCTTGTCCATCGTAACGGACTGAATCAGCTTTCCCGGAGGCTCCCGGAGCCACAGGATCGAAGGACTGCGGGGACTCTTGTAACTCACAAAACAAACCCCTAGTGAACCGGTCCGTCTCTCCCCGGTCACTGCCGTCTGTCATGCTCGTGGCTGCCTCGGGCCGTCTATAAGGATAATCCCCCCCTGGCACGGGAGACTTGTCATCCTGCTGCCTTCTTCCCTCTGGAAAGCCTCCTCCCCTGCCAGGGCCGAGAGTAGCACTTGGTCCCTGGAGGCCGGTGCCCACCTTCCGTAGAGAACGATGCTGAAGTTGCCCTGGTAGGGGCAGAGGGCGCTCCCAGCATGCAGCTCCCCGCCGTCGTCTATCAGGACGTGCCGGGCCCGCAGAACAATGGGCTCCTCGTGGTCTTTGATGACTAGCTTTCCTGAGGACAGGGGAACGGGACGGGGTTTGAGAAGGCTGGCGTTCGCGGTGGGGTCACGGCAGAGGCAAGGGCGGACCCGCCAAGCCCTCCTCGTCCAGGAGGACAAGAAGGCCCGTCTGTCCAGCTCTCCCACGCCTGCCGGGCCCCCAGGTGGCTCCGCGTGTGGACGCCGCCCGCTGGCTTGCGGTCCCGGCTGTGCGCACGGCCGTCAACAAGGAGCAAGCATCGGGAGGCGTGATGTGCGGGAACGCTCCCAGCCCCAACGAGAACGTCCCTCCATAAACGCTTCTGTCACTGAGGCTGCACCTGGGACACACTGCTCCCAGGGACCCAGAGCCAGGGGCCTCTCAAGCCACAGGGAGCTCCGGCCTGAACCCGGAGCACAGGACCTTGGTTCCGCCCGTCAGAGCTGTGGCAGCCTGCACCGGCCTGCTGGGCCACGCGGCGGTGGTCGGGGGCCAGCTTACCTCCCTGGGAGACGTGGATGGAGTTCACCGTGGCGGACACAGCAAGCAGCAGGGCCCTGCCCCGCCCGACGTGCACATAGTGGTCCGGGTTGTGGCCGGGGTTCCAGGGCTGCAGCTCAGGGCTCTGGTCGGGGCACACGGCTGTCGAGGACAGAGAGGCGTCACGGCCTCCATTCCCACCCTGGGGTGCCAGGGGGTGCTCCCTCACCGTGCCCTGCCCCCCTCTACTAGCATATGAGGCCTCGAGAACGAGGACACCCCCGACATAGGTGCCAGGAGCCCTGGGGTCTCAGTTCCCCCCACGTTGGTGAACCAGCCACGTCCTTCCTTGGGGGTCATCTCCCCGTTCACAAAAGGGACGGTAGACGGGGTGACTCCTGAAGATATTCCAGGGCCCAGAGCTAGGGGGTGATCTGCCCGCAGTGCTTGTCATCCAAGACATTATTCCCCCTGGAAAGCGGTGCTCTGAGGTGCACACGGCCCCTCTCCTCCCGCATGAGAATCTGACTCTTGGTAAAATTTCCAGCTCTGTTCCTCTGGAAACCCGAGAAGGAGGGCATCATACAAACACCGTGTCACCAAGGACTTCGCTCCAGCGAGGGGGAGGGGCACCCCATTAGCAATGGCGTCTAAGCGGGGAGGTACGGTGCATGACTGTTTCTCTCCCGGGGGGGGGGGAGGTCGTGCCGTAGGCTCCCCTGAGAGCAGCGGCCCTCGTAATGGGGCACGTGTCCCGCGGGAACCCCTACGTCCCGCCCGCGGAGTTGCCGGAAGAGACTGCCATTGTTTCTTTTAAAAGAACATAATTTGGAAACAAAGCGGTCGATGTTTAACGGTAGGTTGTTTACAGACCACCAAGCTTTGCAAAACAAACATTACCGGATGGAAGCGGGAGAGAGAGACGGGCCGAGGCTCCCGGCCAGGGCACCTCCCGCACCTGTCCCGCCACCGCCTCGGGTCCTCTCCCCCGAGGAGCCACACGGGGTGGCTTCTGGAAAGCTCTGTGGAGAGCGGCCAGGACCGTTCTCGTGCCAGAGAAACCCCCGGTGCGGCTCTGGCCCCGCACCCTCCAGAGGGAGCCTGACGCTGGCGGCCTGTGGTGGCCTCGTGAGTCAGACGTTCAGCTGAGCTTGGAGGCCCCGGGGCGGGGGTGGGGAAGGGCCCCCCCCACCCCGCTCCCCCGCTCCAGTGGAAGCAGCAGGAGGAGCCTCGTCTCCATCTGGCCGGCTGGGCGCGACTCCAGCAGCGGACGGCGGGCGCAGGAGGGCACGGAACCGCCTCGGACGCGGGGAGGCTCTCCCCACAGCCGGGAGCAACCCGGAGGCAACGCGGTGGATGAAACAAAAACGAGAAGGGCTCGTCGCAGAGAACGAGCCCGGATGCCTTCCTCCCCTCTGTCCCTCGAGAACCATAGAGCAGGGGAACCGCTCCATTTAAGGGCCCCGGGTGGGGGTGGGGAGTGAGGGGTCAGGCAGACCCGCCGCAGGGCCAAGGTTGCAGGTGAAGGCCCAGTCCCCGGCGCAGGCTGAGAGGACGGGCGCGACCTCCAGCCCAGGCTCCGAGGAAGGACGCCAGATGCCTCATGTCTCCGGAGCCACATGGGTGCAGAGAAGAGCGTCCATGATGCAGAGGCGTGACCCCAGGAGGGACCCCTGCGATCCCCGGCATGTCAGGTCAAAGCGTCCTGTACTTTTGTTCTGTTAACTCTGGGATGACAGCATCTACCCCGTATTTACTTATCTCAAGAGAACTGGAAGGGAGGTGTCCTTTATCTTCCCTCAACAGCCCAGACACAGACCCCCAAACCCACAGCATCTCGTCGTCTTTGTCCCTCTGAAGGCAGCAACCCCCGGTCCCTCCTCTGCCACGCACAGGGTGGGCCCTCAGTGCAGGGGGGGCCCTCGGTGCGGGGCGGCCCTCGGGGCGGGCTGGCTGAGCTGTAGCCCCACCCAACCCTCCCCAGCCCCACAGCAGCCCCCCTTTGCCCGCCAGCTGCCTCCCTGTCAGCGCGAACCCGGGCTCTGGCTGTCTCTCATGGAGGAGAGAATTTCACACGGTTTGGAAAGCGGCTCTTCCAGCTGTTGGAAGCCCCAAGGGACTCGAGTCATGGCAACACACTGAGAACCAGAGTCCTTGCTCGGCAGTGGACTTCCCGGAGCCTGTGGGCTGGGCTGCTGGTGGGCCCGATGCTTTAGCATCCGGCAGCCCTGGGGCATACGTGTCGGGGACTCTGGTGCCTCCCTGGCCCCAAGAGGCTTCTGAGGGTCATGTCTGTCCCTGGGTCTGTCTTCAGGTGGGTCAAGTGCTTACTGGCTCCCAGCCAAGGACGATGCCCTCCACCTAGTTTTGGACTCTGCTTCCAAGGAGGGGACACACAGCAGTGCAGGGGACCCCTGAGGCCCACTGACAACCGAGTGGTCCTGGCAGGGAGCCACAGGCATCCCAGCTTCTGGGACAAAGCCCCAGGGTCTCGCCACCCACATCTCCCAGGACCAGCTCGGCTGCCCCTTCACGCTCCAGGCACAAGCATGGAGTCCGACGTCACAACTGGCTTTGGAAGAGGGCAGGCCGACCCCAAAGGCTCTTCTGTCATCAGGAGACCATGCCCCCGTGCACTAGCAGTGCTGACCCCACAGGAGAAGCTCGGCGGTCACAAGCCGGGCTCTTTCATTAGAGCTGGTTATTTGCATGGCGTAAAGGTCAGTTTCAGCGGGTTTTCGTCTGTGGGGACCAGCCAGGGGCTGGACATGGTCGGAGCCTGGGCTGGAACATCTGCAGGGCAGCCAGCCTTCCCAGGAGGGCTGCAGAAGCAGGCAGTGGGTGGAGAGTGAGTGTGCAAGTCCGGGGCACTCGGGGCACAGATGGAGAGATGGCAGATAGGACCAGGGACCAGGAGAACCAGAGCCTGGCCTCCTTCCCAGCTGTCTGTGACCAGACTGAAGAGAGACCCAGGCTGTGGCAGAAAAGTCCCGGCGAGACCTCCCTACGGCCCTGAGTGGGGTGATCTTAAAACAGACCCCGGAGCCCCACTCCTGGCCTAGCGCCCATGCACCTTGACGTTCACAAAGAATAAATGAATGAATTCAGGCCACGCTGCCCACGATCTCACCAAGTGTTAACACACGGCCTGCCTGCCCCGTCCCCTCTGGACCTACAAGATTCCGCGAGAATCACACCAAGGGAATTCCACTCGTGACGACGGGAGATTACGTCCTACCCTCCGCGGCCCGAGAACAACAAAACAGAATAAAACCCCCTCATCTTTGCTGCAGAAAAGCAGCCGGTAGGAGCCACGGCGACAGAGTGAGCCACGAGGGTGAAGGTACCATTGCTAACAACCCTCGTTCGAAACGGACACGTGGTCCCCAGCGCTCCCCCAAGTCTGTGTCCCTGATGGCCGTTTCCTATTGTCCCCGCAGACCTGCCCTGAGCTTCTGCCTGTTTGCTCAAAATCATTCCAGGAAAGAGTCGACACGGAGCTCAGAAAAGCAAACCTCGCGTGAGGCATTGCAGCCGACAAGACGCTTAGTGGTCCCCAGATTTTATGAGGGCAGAGCAAGGAGGGAGCTCTGGACGCAGGCGGAGCGGGCAGGCTTGTGCCCAGATGTGCGATTTTTTTCTCTGGACGGCCCCTGTCCCCCAAAGCAGTCTGTAACATTTGAATTGGTTGTCAACCCTCAACCAGAAGGGGATTTAACATAAAAATCTAGATTTCTGGCTCCTCTTAAAAATTCATGCGCTCCCGCAACGGGGCCCCACTTCCACATGGAGAGCAATTGGCTGACAGTGAGAAGTGGGTGTCCCCCTCGAGGAGCCTGAACTTGCCAGGTGACCACGGTCCCCGCCTGGCCAGCCCCAGTGTCTGGGTCCTGCGTCTGCCTCCCGGGGACGCTGTGCATGGAAGCCTGTGTCTGGTCCAGCCCCATCGTTTTATGGCTTACAACAGAGGCCCAGGATGGGACTGCCCGGGATGCGAGGTTAGCAGGGCCCAGCCAGAGCCCAGCCGCCCTGCCCCCGCCCTGGGGCTCCTTCTCCTGCCCCCAGCAGCCTCACCTCCCACTGAGGCACCGAGGTCCCACGCGCCGTGGCGGCTCACCTGCGGACATGGCCCCAGGGAAGCAGGCCAGGGCCAGCGAGCTGAGGGTCAGCATTGCCTCGAGGGAGAAGTCCTGTCTGCTGGCAGCTCCCATCCTGGCAGCGGCTCCCTGAAACTGAAGCACCACGAGTGAGACCTGGGACCTCAGCGGGCCGGAGTCCGCGGCCAGGGCGGGCACCGACAGACCCGGCCCCTGGCGCACACCTGGACAGGGCCCGCCGGGGCAGAGTCCTCCGCCGCCATGACTCAGGGCCGGGCAGACCGGGGCACGCAAGCCCCGTCCCCATCCCGCCCGGGGCCTGCAGCTCAAAGACTCGGCAATGGATGGAATTTCATCCTCGGTGCCTGTACTCCCGCCCCTCCAGGGTGAAGCTTTTTTCTTAAGGAGCAGAGAAAACCGAAAATATTCCCACGCAACACGAGCTGGAAACCAGATGCCACGAACGTGCTGTGTGAGCTCAGCTCTTTGGACAGACCTCTCTGGGCCTCAGTTTCTTAATTTGGCAGACGATGTTGTGGACTGGCTGAGTTCTAACCTTTGCTCCAGTTTTATGGGTCTACGTTTCTAAAATACATCTTGATAAAGTCTCGACAATAGGAAGTCTGTGTGTCACGCACCCTCTGTGTATCACCTATCCAAAGGAAGATGAGATGGCGAGAGATAATCGTCCCCCATTTGTTCCCTCCTTCCTTGGGAAACAAACCCCCGGCTTCTATCTGGGTGTATGGTCACCCAGTATAAAGGCCACCTTTCTGGGCTCTCTTATGTAAGTGGTACAACGGCCTTGGAATAAAGTTCTGGCCAACACCACCCCAGTATGGTGTATGAATTACAGGAAATGCCCTTAAGGGAAAACAAGAAGTCCTTCCTTCCTCCCTCTTGCTGGAGGGAATGTGGATGTGATGGCTGGATCTCCAGCAGCTATGTTGGGCTGCATAGTGGGAGCCATGCTGAAGATGGCAAAGCAAATGCAGAGAAACATCGAGGCCCTGAGCCTATGGAGAACAGAACAGCCCTAGGCTCAGACTTTATTTTTATGTGTGAGAGAACTAAATTTCTATTTTGTTAAAGTTCTATTTTACCAAAGCTGCTTATCTTTCTCCTTTCATTCACACAGACAGTGAATGTGGACTCTACACAGATAAACCCCAAGACAGGAACTTAAAAAGATGACAGATTCCCCTTTTAGAACAGAATGCATGCAGAAAACATGTTTGTCCCTCTGTGGCCACACAGATGGCTCAGACTGGGCTTGGGCGGATGGTGACCAGCTCCGGCTTCCCTGCCGGGGTCCCCGGGTCCTATCCCGGGCATGACAGCAGCTGTGCCCAGAGAGAAACATTTCTTCCCTCATGGAGAAAGGGGCCCAAATCCCTCTTGCCAGACACAGGCGCCTCCCCTGAACTAGCTCAGGGACAAATCTGACCATCCCTGGCCTGTGGGCTCCTGGTAAGTGTCTGGGGTGCTCCGGGGAAGCTGGGGAGTGCAGGAAGGTCGGAGCAGGGGCCCCCACGCTGGACCTGCCTCCTTCTGTGCAGGTGTGTTGGGAGGCGGGGAGGGAGAACCTGATACTCTCAGATTCAATGCTTGCGGTGTCCTCCCTGCCTGGCCCGGGCCTGGCCTGCGAGAACAACAGGCCCATTCTAGTCGCTTCGGCCGGCCGCTGAAGCCTGGCATCACGGCCTCTGGGAACGGTGCCTTTCCCATGGGCCCCAGAGCAAGAGTGTCTGCTTTCCTAGAAAGGAGGGGCTTCAGGGACAGGGAGGCGGCACTGCCCTCAGGGGAGAGCCAGAGCCCCACTCCCGAGTCTGGATCGGGTTAGGAAAACTAGAGAGAGCTGTTATCTGCAGATAACAGAGAAACCCCCCATCACCACGGGGTCCTCCGAGGGGTGTCCCAACTTCCAGACCGTAAGCTGGCAGCTCCACTGGCTAACGGAATACAACAGGCTCCCAGGGTGGTGGGGGCTGGAACGGGAGACGGTCTGGGTGCGGGCACCCATTCTGCCCCAGCTCCAGGGATCCCCCGTGAAAGCACTTCCTCGTGGGCCTCAGATTCCCACGCGGAGAGGCTGTCCGGGCATTCAGGGACCTGTGGCTCTGACAACCTCTGATTGCAACACAGGTTATTTCAGAGAACGAGGACACACACACACACACACACACGCACGCACACACACACAATCCCCTTCTGGGCACACACACACACACAATGCCACCTGGAGGGCGAAGGCTCTAAGCCTCTTTTCCCCAACATGCAGGAGGCTTCTGCCATGTCTGTGTCCGAGCCCAGGCAGACAGAGAGGCCTCCTGCCCAGAGAGGTGACGCCCACGTGGCCAGGGTGGGGGCAGGTCTCTCCCGGGAGAGGCTCCAGCGCCCGAGTCCAGAAAGCCCGAGGAACATTGTGTTGAAGCGAGTCCCCAGAGTCTCTTGGATTTCACTTGGGAGCTCTTCACCGGGGGAGGCCAGCGTGGTCTGTGGCTCGCTCCAAGATTTCTGGCAACGGAAGCTGAGATTCTGCTGGCAAGATATGGTCCTGACCTGGTTCCCAGCTGCTGGAGGCCCGGGAAGAGCACACACTGACCCACAGTGCTAGAAGTTTCCGCAGGACGCTGCGGGCCGGAGGCTGGCCGGCCGCAGCCTGATGGCCATGAGCTGACCTGATCCTTGAAAGGCGCCGGGGTAGCCTTCTGCAGAGCCAGCAAGGAGGAAGAGGGCGGACAGGCTATTTGGAACAACTCAGGATTCTCCATGACCAGCTCAGGGTTCCAGACCGGCGCCGTTCCTGCTGTCCGACGGTGGCCCAGGCCGTGTGCTCCCGATTCTCACAGGGACGAGAGACACTGCCTCTGTCCGCCCATCTGGACTTCACGTGCCCGGGGCCTGAATCTTGGTTCTTCCTGCAGGTGGTCGATCGTGGGGTCCGGGGCTTGGCACCTGCAGAGAGAGAGGGGAACAGAATGTTGTTGGAGCCTCTGGAGAGCCCCTGTGTCCCGGCTCAAACTGCCCCAGCACAGCAGCACACTGGCCCCAGGGTGCGAGAGACCCTGTGCCAGCGCAGCCGCAGAAGCCGGACCCCTTGGAGAGTGTCCTGGACGCCGGCCCAGGAGTGGGGGAGAGGGTCGGAGAGGGTCTATTCCAGCTCGGAGGCGGGGTGTGACGTGGGACCTACGGGATGATCCGGCAGCCGGTCTCAGGAGGGAGAGAGCACAGGGACAGCGTCTCCCCATCAAACCTGGCCTGAGGCAAGGCTAGTGTCACCCAAACCTGGACAAGGCTGGGCCCGGCCACTGGCAGGACGCTGTGGTCCAGAGGCCTCAATCCTGGCCACATGGCTGATACCTGGAAAATCATCTGAACACCTGGGGCTCCCTTTCATGGTAAAATCTGAGCTAATACATCCTAAATTCCAAGGTCACTGTGGGATCAAGCGAGATGCCTGACCCGAGGCCAGCACCTCCCCCCGCCTGGTTATGCTCTCTGGAAGGCCAGCCTGTGCCCCTGTTCGTGGAGGGCCCCCGTGGGGCTGGTGCAGGCCAGACCACCCACACAGGCTCAACTTAGAACCTTTTCTGGAACAAGAACCTGCAGGCCCATGCCAGTGGCCACCAGAATTGATGCAAACAGAGCCGAGAGCTCTCCTTCCCGCCAGGCAGAAAGTGACTCATTAAAACACAGCCTCTGACCCAGCAGGTCTGGGGTGGGGAGTGATTCTGCCTTTCTAACCCGTTCCCGGGGGAGGCTGGTACTGCCAGGCCGTGGGCCAAGACACAAGGATCTGCCCATTTTACAGAGGGGAACTGAGGCACAGGGAGCCGGAGCCCATGCCTGCGCTCGTCAGGAGCAGTAGATGGAAATCCAAACCAGCATCCAAGAGGAGAATTTCTGTCCGACTCGAACTTAGGGGACATGTGTCACTCTCCCGCCTCCCTACTTGGGGAGGGGCGGTGGGTGGAGGGAGACGGGGCCCATCTGTTCCTGCCCCCGTCTCAATCGAGGCATCACTTCAAGTCTTCGTTTGGGTAGTAAACACAGGCCTCAGACGCCCTTGACACACCCACGGAGGCTAAAAATTCCTTCTCCGAACAGAACACCTGCTTGGATACGGGGAGTCCCCTCTGGGAAGCCACCAGCACGCGGAGCCACGGAGGGAGACGCTGCGGTTCCGCCGGGGGAGACGAACGCACACCGTGGGTTTGTACGGGGTCTGCGCCTCCTTGACTTAAATGCCGTCTCTCCCCCGTCCACCTCCCACCTTCGGAAACCTGTCTTTGCTCTGACTCCGTCTCTACCCCTGTGAGTCTCCCTGGACCTCGGCCTTGATCAGCGGCTTCTCCCCCTGCACCAGGGCTTGCTGATCAAACCTTCCTTCACGCTTCTCTCTTTCCGTCCTCGGGACTTACTGAACGATTCCCCTGGAAACTCGGGCCGCAGGCTCCCCGGGGGTCAGCCCACTTTGCTGCTCCTGCACAGCAGCCGCCCGGCGACACGGGACCGGGAGTGCCTTGCCCATCGCTAAGACACCGGGTGTGCGCGAGCAGAAACTGGACACATGCAAGCAAACTGATAATTTTCGTAACTGTAACTCTTCTCAAAAGTCTTTTAAGCCATTCCCTCAACGGAGGAAGGAAAAGATCATCTGTCCTCTTGGAGTTGCTTCTCTCCGCCCACGCCACCCCAGGATCATAAAAGAGAGGGGCTATCCCATTGCTGATGCGGTGCTTCTCCCGAGTCACAAGCTCAAGGCCGGCGCGAGCCGACGGCAGGCTGCAGCGAGAAAGGCCCCTGCTAAGGCCAGCGCTCTCGGGGAGAGGGGGACTGAGTACTCTAAAACGTGACCCAGGTGTCCCTGTGTCCCTATTCCTAGTCCCCAGGCATCACATGCCCAGCATCTGCAAGTTCCCCTCGTCCCGTGGAAAGCGCGGGCCTTGTAGGGCTCCCCCTTCCCTCCAAGTCCATCTGGGGGTCCTTGTGGGCACCCGCACACATGCAGGCATCACCCTGTCACTGTTCATGGGGCCACTGCCCCTGCTGGTCTCCACCTCTGCCCTCGCCAACGGAGCCCTTCCCGCGGGAAGGAGAGCCTGCCCCCTGGTGACCCGCCCACAGGAGCCCCCTCCACGCCTCGGCCTCACTGTGGAAGCCACCTGTCTCATCCGCAGAGAGACAGGGGCCAGGCTCTGTCACCTGTCCCCCATCCAGGGCACACGAGGGCGTCTCCCAGGACAGGATTCCTCTCGCAGGAACCTCCCTGCCCGCCCGGCATCTGGGCGTCGGTCTGGTCTGCCCAGCTCATCCCGTGGCTCTCTAAGTCGGTGGCTCTCATGTGGAAGGGAGGCTTGGGCCCCTCCCCACCCCGCCCCAGACTTCTCAGCCTCCTTATACATCGGTGGGGACAAGCCGTGTGTGGGACGGGAGCTGCCCCCTGACTTTGAGGACCAGCCGATGTGGGTCCCACCTCGGGCTTGGCTGGGCATCATCTGTAAAAGGGACAGATGCTCTGCTGGCCGCCCTCCAGCCCCCCAGGGCAGGGCGAGCCTGAGCTGGGGTGGGGGAGGCTGCCCGGCCACGGGGCTCTCATCCCTAGCACCCCGCCCTGGCTGTCAGAGCCCCGGGTCCCCTCAGGGCCGGCAGCTCAGAGGTCAGCCAATGCCCAGAGCAGCCCGATCCCACAGATCGGGACCTCAAAGGCAAGCAACTCCCAAGACCCTTGAGTCAGGGCTTAGAACCTTTCCCGTGCGACCACCAGGCTACACACCTTCCCGGCCGGTTGTGTGTCCTCCCCCGGATGGCTGAGGGGTTTCGGCAATAAACACTTCATCAAGTGTGTTTTTTAACCGAAAATACCAGCATCAGCAATTGGCCACACATGTCTCTGGGCCCACGGTTAGGCCATGTGTGCCGACTTGTTTCCGAGGTTCCAGTGAGATTTCTGCAAAACGTCCCCTGCCTTCTCCTGGTCACCTCCGGCCCGGGAGGCGCCTGCTTTACCCCTCCGAGGGCCCCGTGATGGCCCGCAGAGCCTTCCTCCACGCCCAGGGGGCCCTGCCTGATGGGGGCGGGACAGCTCACTCCCACAGGGAGCTCTATTTCAAAGAGCTCCCACATCAGTGCGAAATGCAAAGGGCCAGCAGGTGCCAAGGAGCGTCAGGGGTGAGGTAGGGCAGGGGGCAGGGGCTGAGGCACCTTCGGGGCAGGGGTTTGGACTTTATCCCAAGGGCTCCCGGCAGGCAGGCGGGAGGGGCTGCAAGCAGAGCCCGCCACCCACGTGTCCTCCAGGAAGATGCCGCCGGCAGGGCTGGACCCGAGGAGGGGCGAGGGGTGGAGGGTGTGCCGCTGGAGGACTCCACCGCCAGAGTTGAATTAATTCAGCACACATTTACCAAACGCCTACTGCACGACAGCTCAGGAGAAGACCTGCCCAGGGTCGGTTGCGAGGTCACAGTCCGGGGGGCGCGGGTGCCCAGGGAGGGGGCAGTGGGCAGAGGAAGAACGCGGAGCACTTACACACGGTGTGCGTGTGTCTGACGGTGTTCAGGGCACTGGAGAAAGTCAGGCAGGACCGCGGGGAAGGAGCCGCTCCCGTGCACGGGGAGGTCACAGACACACTCACTGAGAAGGGGACATTCGAGCAGGACTTGAAGGTGGGGACAGGACAGGGGTGCAGTGGAGATAGGCAGGGGGAGCTTGGTGTGTCCTCGGAGCGAAAGGAGCGGGTGCTGGGGCAGAGACGAGGTCGGAGGACAGAGGGGACTGCACAGCAGGGGCGAGGAGAAGAGCCCAGGGGCTGTCCGGGGAGGGTCAGGTGGGAAGGAGAGAGGCACGGGGGGCACACGTCTGAGGCAGGACGCGCTACGGAAACGGTGCCCTCCATCACGGCGAGGCCCCGCTCAGCGCTCCATCAGTCGCGCGGTCGGGCACGTCTGGCTTCAAGGGAGCTGGCAGCAGAGGCGTGTTGCGGGGGTCCCGGCTCACACGGGCCGTGCGGCCAGCCCTGCGCCGTTCAGTCCGCGCGACGCCCTCCCCGCTGACCGCTCAGCCTCTTGCAGCGATGCTCCGGGCACCGTCTGCGGACTGCATCCACCCGACTTACAGCTCCTCCGGAGTCTGGCGGCCAGAAGGGAGGGACATGAGGCGACTGGGCCTGCCAAGGGCACACGGCACACGGCTGGGAAGGAAAGGTGTTCTCAGAGCCACAGAGCCCCGGAGAACGCGACCCGCCGTCGGAGCTGTGCTGGCTGTGGGTCCCTTGTGTGTGTTCACAGTGTTCCTGCACCGGGGCACTGCTGTCCTAACGTACCTCCTTCCAGATGGAGAGGAAGGAAGGGCAGCGGCAGAGAGATTTGCCCTCGAGGCCCTGAGAGCAGGAGGAGCGGGCAGCGGAGCTGGACTGTGTGTGCACGTGTGCGTGTGCAGATCACACCGCCACCCGCGGTTCTGAAGCTGCGGGCCTGGGGCACGACCTGATAACCCCCATTTGCACACACACAGCCTGATGCCTGGATGGCCAGGACCCGTGTCCGGACTCGGGACAGGCCCCCGCTGCCCTCCAGCATGTGGATGATGAACAGGACCTTCCTTCCAACTGGGAACAGGGACCTGTGGGGGCAGAAAATGCTCCTGTGGTCTGTTCCTTGGGGAGCCCTCTGTCCCTCACTCCCAGCTGCTATGGTTCAGGCGGGGCTGACCCACCGCCTCAGCGGCCAAGGCAGACATGGGACCCAGCCTGGCCAAGGAGTATATTCTGTTTCCTGGCTGCTGGGATCTGTTGGGGAATGGTCACACGACCCGAGACAAAGAAAGGGGACGCGGAACTACTGGGAAGCTAGTCCTCACCCACGGAAGCTGGGGAGCCTGGAGCTGCCCAGGGCCTCTGTCTCTGTGCTGAGAGCGCCTGCCCGAGAATGAGGCGTGCACAGAGGAAGGCAGAGCCTACA